ACATGGGAGAAATCCCTTCTGCTGTTGGAATTCGCGTATAATAACGCGCCTTCCGCCACAACTCATCAATCCCCATTTTTCCTCAATTACGGTGGTAACCTCTGCACCAGTGCCACTGGATCCAGTGACAAATCTCTGGGACCGGGGCACTGGTGTCTCGATGTCAGCCTACTACGACCCTACGTCCCAAGTTCGTCGAATTTGGCACATCAGCGCATCGTCCCGCAGCAAACGCCCTTGTAGGAACCGACGACTGAGCCGATGAAGATTCTCGGCCGTCGAGTCACAACGCAGCAGAACTGTCGGATGGTGGATTTTCTCGTCAGATGGTGCGATCGGACGTCTGAGGATGACAGTAAGGTACCCCTCGCGGATATAGAATCTCACCCGATTCTAACAGAGTATTACCAGCGTCGAAATGTTTCCGATGCCCGCGGCCTCGTTTAGGAGGGGGGGGGGGGGGGGGGGTAGTGTAAGGAATTCCATTCCTTACTGAGCCGTATGCTAGCGCGTACACCCGAACTCCCCGACTCGTCACGTTCGGCCTCATTTGTCGGCCCAACCCTTTCCTGAGTCGCGCCCGGCACTGTCGCCACATTGCTGAACCTACCCACGTGTCAAACATATTTGTGTATGTTTAGTAGACTACATAGGGTCTTGCCATAGAGAGTACAACCCACTAGCTATATACCCCTGTATACTCTCATTCTAATCAACACTTCTGATTTTCAGATGGTATCATGAGTAGGTTAGGTCCCCCCCGCCCACCCGCGCTTCCGCCTTAGGTCCTAGCCTGCCCCGTCGCCTAGCGCCTAGCCACCCCAAGGGCCCCGCGGCCCCGTTGCCCCGTCACCTAGCCCCTAGCCGCCCCGCTGGCCCCACGGCCCCGTCACCTAGCGCCTAGCCCCCACGGCCCCATCACCTAGCGCCTAGCCGCCCGTGGCCCCGTGGCCCCGTCGCCCCGTCGCCCAACGCCTAGCCACCCCGCTGGCCCCGAGGCCCCGTCCCCTAGCGCCTAGCCACCCGCGGCCCCGCCACCTAGAGCCTAGCCGCCCGTGGCCCCGCGGCCCCGTCACCCAGCACTTAGCTGCCCCGCTCGCCCCGCGGCCTCGTCACCTAGCGCCTAGTCGCCCGCGGCCCCGTTGCCCCGCCACCAAGCGCCTAGCCCCCCCGCTGGCCCCGCGGCCCCGTCACCTAGCGCCTAGCCGCCCGTGGCCCCATCGCCCAGCGCCTAGCTGCCCTAGTCGTCCTGCGGCCGCATCGCCCCTAGCGTAGCCGCCCTGCCGCCCCGTCGCCTAGCCGCCCCATCGCCTAGCCGCCCTGTGGCCTCGCCGCCCCGCGGCCCTGTCACCCCGCTGATCTGCGGCCCCGTCGCCCAGCTGCCCAGCGGCCCCGTCGCCCAGCCGCCAGCGGCCTCGTCGCCCCGCTACTTCGCAGTCCCGTCGCCCAGCCGCCCCGCGACCCGTCGCCCCCCTGCTCCGCGGCCTCGTCGCCAAGCCGCCCCGCAGCCCCACCGCCCAGCCGTCTCGCAGCCCCATCACCTAGCTGCTCAGCCGCCGTGTTTCCTAGTCCCCGTCTGCATCACCGGCCCTCTCCACCGTGCTGCACCGCTTAGCACCGCACAGCACCCTACTGGACCGCGCCCCACCGTACTACACCGCACTGCTCTGTGCCCCACTGCACTATACCGCACTGCACCGCGCCCCACTGCATTGCACCTCTCTACACCACCGTGTTTCCCCTGGAGCGGAAGGCCGACGTGCCTGGCGTTCTTATCCCCTGGCTTGTCTCTGCGCATGTGCACCGAGGTCTCCCTGTGCTGCGTCTTCACTCCGACCGTGGTGGTGAGTTCGCCTCTGGCTGCCTTAGTCGCTTCTGTCGTGCGGAGGGAATCATCCAGACGTACACCCTGCCGGAATCCCCGCAGCAGAATGGGGTCGCTGAGCGACGCATCGGTTTGGTCATGGAGGTGGCTCGTACCTCCATGATCCATGCCGGTGCACCCCATTTTCTGTGGTCGTTCGCTGTTTGCTACGCCGCCCACTAGCTTAACCTGTGGCCGCACCCTCAGCGGCCGCAGGTTTTGCCAACCCTCCTCTAGGCCGGGTCTCCTGGTGACGCGTCTGCGTTCCACATCTGGGGCTGCCTTGCTCACGTTCGTGCCTCTGGCACGGACAAGCTCATTGCCCGCACCGTCCCCTGTGTCTTTCTAGGTTTCCCCCTCGACTCGTCTGACTGGCACTTTTACCACCCACCGTATCACCGTTTCTTTCACTCTCGCGACGTCACCTTTGACGAGTCCATCTTCTTCTACAACCGATTTCCCCATCGTGGACCCCCGGTCACTCCCCCTCAGTCCCTGGTTCCCCTCCCTCCCCCGATCGCCCCTGCTCCTCCCCCACCCTGCCCTGCCCCGTCTGGTGTGTCTCACGTCACCCCCTCCCGTTGGTTGTCCCTGCCGAGGGGTCTGCTGACTCTCGCGGCTCAGCAGAGTCCCTTCCCCTGCCTGTCCCCGCCCCGGTCTCTCCTCCCCTGTCGCCGCCGTTGCTGTCTCAGCTACAGCCGCCTTCGCCGCAGCCGCAGCCGACGTCGTCACCGCAGCTCGGGTTTGTGCGTTCTGGAAGTGCTGGAGAGCGTGCCAGACCAGGTACTGGAGCGGGTTCCCGTTCTAGGGGTGCTGGCGTGGGGCTTCCAGGAGGGAGTCGTGGTCCTGCTGGAGGTTCTGGTGTTGGCGTCGGGCAGCAGTCGTCGCCGTCGCAACCGGTGTCCGCTCTTCGCCTCCTCGACCTTCCTTCCCCTGATTGCCCACCAGTGCCTCCTCGGTCACCACCGCCTTCTCCTCTACCAGTCTACGGCCCTGTGTTTCCTCTAGTGGACTCTTCTCCAACTAGTTTCCCTCCTCGTTCTCCTCCTGTGTCTCCTCCCCTCTCTCTTGATTTCACTCTTCCGTCTCACGTCTGGGCTCGCCGTCCATCTCGTGCTCCTCCTACCTCCCCTGTTCCACGTTCCCACCCTATTTTGCTTTGCTCTCATGCGTCTTGTGCTCCTCCACTCCTTCCGTCTCCTTCTCCGTCATCGCTCGATGTGTCCCCGCCTCCGTTTTTTGAATTCATCCGTGCCGCGCGTCCCCTTCTTACTCGTGTCCTTGCCTCCCTTGTTACCAACCTGTATATTGCTGTCTCGAGCCTTGATGCTCTTGTCGCTCCTGTCGCTGACTTCGCCGCTACCCGCCGCCTTGACTATGCCACTGCTCTGGTCTCTGACCCTGCCTGCCCTCCGTCCGTCGGGGGTGTGGCTGCCATTGGCAGTGACGTCATGGAGGACAGACAGTAAGAGCTTGCTTTCCTGTCAGAGGCCGTTCCCCATCTCTGTTCCATGCTGCTAGTCCCTGAGGGTGACCTAGACACTCTTGATATCCGGACCCCTCGGACCTACACTGAGGCCACCTCGAGACCCTGGGCCTCTCAGTGGATAGCTGCCATGGAGCAGGAAATGGCATCTTGGAGATCCACCAGTACCTTCGTCGACGCAGTTCCCCCTCCTGAGGTGAACGTAGTCTATGGTCAATGGCTCTTCAAGGTGAAGTGCCCTCCTGGAGAGCCGCTTGTCTTCAAAGCGCACTACGTGCTCGTGGCTTCAGTCAGCGTAAGGGGGTGGACTTCTTTTAGACCTTCGCTCCGACCCCGAAGATGACTAGTCTTCGGGCACTGCTACACGTAGCAGCACAGCGTGACTACGAGCTGCACTTACTCGACTTCTCCACAGCTTTCCTCCAGGGCAGTCTTCACGAGCAGGTCTACCTGAGCCGCCCCCAAGGCTTCTCCGGTACCTTTCCCCCTGGTACGGAATGGCTCCTTCGGCGTCCCGTCTACGGCCTGCGCCATGCGCCCCGTGAGTGGCACGACACGCTGCATGCTCCTCAGGGACTGCATTATCTAGCAAGTACATCGGGCATGGGGCTAGTGCTAGGAGGACACCGACCTATGGTTCTTATCAGGCACACAGACGCTTCTTGGGCAGACGACGCCGAGACTCTCAGGTCGTCCCATGGCTACTGCTTTAGCCTTGGTGCAGGTGCTTACTCGTGGAGGTCCACCCGCTCGTCGTCTGCTGTCCAGTCTAGCTGTGAGGCTGAGATCTACGCCGCTGCCATGGCGGCACAGGAGCTCCGTTGGCTGACTTTCTTGCTTACAGACTTAGGTGAGCAACCTAGCTCTGCCCCAGTCCTGTACGCTGACAACAGGCCCATGATTCTCCTGTGTCAGGAGCCTAGACTCGAGGGCAGCTCAAAGCACATCCACCTGCGGTACTTCCTTCTGCGTGAGCTACGGCAGCGTCGCCTGGCCCGCGTAGTACATTTGGCCTCTGGTGCCAACACAGCTGATATCTTTACTAAGGCGCTTGCGCCTAAAGATCATCAGCGGCACTGCGTACAGCTTGGTCTCATTCCTGTAGCACCTCATTTGCTAGGACCTTGATTGTGTATAACTCTTCATATATTATCCTGACTGGCCTTTTCGCTCTCTCACAGTGGCTGGACTAGTAGTGCCGCCCTGAGCTGCTTGTCTCTCACCAGGATCTGCCCCTATCTAGTCTAGTGGGTGTGTCATACATATTTGTGTATGTTTTGTAGACTACATAGGGTCTTGCCATAGAGAGTACAACCCACTAGCTATATACCCCTGTATACTCTCATTCTAATCAACACTTCTGATTTTCACACCACGTTCCGAGGTTATCGACCTAGCATGCCAACTCCTATATAACCTCGTGCCTTCATTGCAATAGCGACCTTGTATTCTCACGTTCTAGTTCATTTACACTTCCTATATCATAATAGGCGGGGTTGGGGGATGGTTGATTGATTGTGTGCGTAGCATGGCAACCGTGAGCGAAGAGGGGCAAACCAACCGCCACAGGAATTTGGCGCCAAATTGGTTCAATTTCTCAAATTTGCTTACGTTGCCATGCCATCACGTGCTACGGACACAATCAATCAACCATCCCCCAGCCCCGCCAATGCCCTTTCTGCCATGACCTTCCTTCAAGCCCGCAGACCGCCAGAGCAGCACTGCTGACTACCACTCTCTATCCTGCGCCTGCCTTCTTACTAAGTGTTCCGTCGTGAGCGACCCGAAGAAGGCATCTATTTCGCCCCAAGGCCAACGGCCAGGAGCAGTCTCTTTGGTCGAAGCCTCGGCTTGCTGACCGTCTGAGGTTTTCAGCCAAACTCCTAAAATCTTTATTCAAGCACATCCCGCCGTGCTCAGGCAGGGGTGTGGAGTAATATGGAGGATATGTCGAATAAAAGCCATGGCTCGAACCTGTGGCGACTTTCGTCCGTGAGTGAACCGCTCGTCCTTGAGAAATCTAGAAGTGCTTACCAGGTACTGCGATTATCGATGCAATTCCACAACTCGCCTTCTCCGCGTGCTCGGGGTTCGTCGTTTGCACTTGCAGGTCTTAGCGCCCGTCGTCCTGTTCTTTTTCAATTTGTCTGCATGAAGCATCTTCTGCCTTTGCACACAAGCGCGACGAGACAGCCCTCGCCCTTGCGATCTGTCATTTCTTTAATCCGTCACCCCTCGCCGTCCATGCATCCCTACGGCAGGAGCAGCAGCAGCAGCAGCCAGCGGACCAGGAACGTGTTGGGTCAGCACCCGTTCTTAGCTCGCCGCAGCACCACCAGCGGCCGCGTCGTCGATCGTGAGTGCCGTTTTCTATCGTCTTTGAGGCCACGCCGTCGATCGATGTGGTCGCACTTCCGCACATGCGACGTGTCGTCCGTCGCCGTCTCATCGCACGCACGACCAATCGGACTTATTCTCGCTGTCCCGAATCCGTTTTTTTTATGCTCACACAGTCGCTCCCCGGGTGCGTCCTGGATGCGTTCTCCCCATTGCTCCCCTCCACCTGCTCCCCTCCAGTAAAGAGCCGACCGCCATCAAATCTGGCCTAGCTGCTGCGGCCGCTGTTGCCAACACTGGTTCTCCTACTGATGCGGATGCCGGAAAGGGTTTCAGCGCTTTCGTGAAAGGGGAAGTCACGGGACGTGCAGAGGGAGCAGGGCCGCCATGGCAGAGTGCAGCCGCAGTTACCGCATCTGTTGTTCGCGTTACCCGCGGGACCGACAAGCGGCCGAAGCCCAACCGGCAGCTGTTCCCCCATCCCGAACCTGAATCGCATGCTGCTGAGCCTCTGCCCGAAGCTGCAGCGGTTTCGGAGCGGCAGCGTGCGTTTCCAGCAATTTCTGACTTCCCTCACGCCCGTGGGGCTGCTGAGGCGCTGGCGGAGGGGATGGGCGGTGTGGGGGAAGCGGAAATGGCGTGCGCTGGGGGTGGGGAGTCCGGAGGTGAGAGGCAGACGCGCGTGGAGGGAGATGGGGCGGGGATTTTGGTGTGGGGAGAGGAAAAAGATAGAGAAACTGCGAGGGAGAAGGTTAAACTTATGAGAGGGGAGGAGGAGGAAGAAGAGGAAGAAGGGGAGGAGGAAAATGGGGAGGAGGAGGAAGAGGAGGAGGATTGGATGAAGGAGGTGAGGGCTGCATGGAGCGAGAGGAGAGGCAGCGCGAGGCGTGCAGGGAGTAAGGGGGTCGGCAATGAGGAACAGTAAGATGATTTGGTCATGGGTATCTTGACCTTCTCGTCACATGCTTGTGACATGCTTGTCACATGCTCGAGACATGCTCGTCACATGCTTGTCACATGCTTGTCACATGCTCGTCACATGCTTATCACATGCTCGTCGTGGCATGCTCGTCACATGCTCGTCACATGTCATCACATGATTGTCACATGCTCGTCACATTCCGGTGACATGCTTGTGTCTGCTCGTCTGCAAAGAACAGGGTACTCATGCGCTGACCCCTTCTGCTTGGGTGTCTTTCCAGCTGTCCTTTTTTCTTCGTCTGTCGTGTTCCTCTGCCCCAATTCATGTGTGGCTGTTTGATCCTTCCTCGGTCCACCCCTCTCTCCTCCCCTCCTTCCCACCCCTTCCCCCATGCGTACACGGACTCTCTTTGGCCTCACAATCTGACCCCTAAAGAAGGCCAACTCCAGCAGCAGAAGCAGCTCTCGCACACGGATCAGCACAAGCATCAGCGACTGCAGCAGCAGACGCAGCAGTGACCCCATCTCTGCTTCCTCCCCTGCTGCCGTTCCCAGCCCCTGAGCGGTGGGAGGAGGATCCCGTGTACCAAGGCATGGCTTATGTCGGCTGCGCGCACCAGTACACCCCTGCACACTTCCTCAGGTTCCTTGCCAACTGGCGGCTGCAGCAAGAGAGTGGTAGCAGGAGCACATGAGCTGTAAATAGTGGCAGTGGCGTGCAGGTTGTTGCACCCTCTGTGTACTTGCCATTTTCATGCTTGGGAATTTTCATCTTCGGGTAGTAGCTTGCAACCAGAACTGCCCAATAATTAGGTATGGTACTGTGTGTTGTGATATAATTGATACTTAGCATTTCTGTAAGTCGATTATGTGTAGTTAGTGTCCAATCATTCTGTAGAAGATAAGTCCATAGGATGACGCTAGCAAATAGCGCTCGTCATAGGACAGTCGTTTCAGTCACGCGAACAGTCGCACCCCTTCATTATCATTTAGGGCGCATAGCGCGATAGTGACGAATGTCAAACATAAGTATAACTCATGTTTGTATAGACTGTATAGGGTCGCCTCTTAGAGGGTACAACACTCTTAGGTATATACCCTTGTACTCTCTCTCTATTCAACAATTCTTCAGTTCTAAGATGGTATCTGTTGGAAATATCTCAAGGACTTAAGCGTTTCTGAAGTGTAACACTGTACTCGAGGAAGATTACAGGGGAGCACGCGAGTCAACGGAGGTTACACGAGGGGGCGGACAAAGAATGCGAAAGGACTCGAAAGGTCGCAACTGGAGGTTGCGACTGACCGTTACAACATCACGGACGGTAACCGAAGCGGCAATCGAGTCGCTGTGCGACTCGATAAACCGTTCCTGTAACTGTATTCTACAACTGCTTCCTTATCTTCTATATATTGCTGTATGCTTGTTTCTTTAATCAATCACTTGTTCTCACATACTAGTACAAGGGTTCAACTGCCTCAACTTCCGCTGCACTACTCCAAGTCTCAAGTCTCTACAGCTGGGACTTAGTCTCTGCAAAAGATCCTAAGGGCTTTTCTCAGCCCAACATGGTATGAGAGCTGGTCAGAGATCAAAACTCCCAGCAACTACACTCCATCAACAACCAGCAACTCAACTTGATTCAACAACTCCATTGATTACAAGACATGGACAACAAGGGCAAGAAAGTCTCTACGGGCTCACCCAGCGCCCAAGAAACTCAACACGGCAACTCTGGTCTGCACACCTCAGGACTGCAGACAGAGACCGGGACTACTCAAGAAACAACGGGAAGAGTACCAGAGATGGTGACTCCGTCTCCCTCTTCAAGTGTGGACCCGAATCTCATGGAGAGATTCTTCAGCTTCATGTCACACTTCGACCAGCAGCAGCAGACAAGGACACCTGCGCACTCAACACAGAGCAATGGAGGGAATATGGGATTAGCACCGATGAGCCTCGACAACTCATCCTTCGGGCGACACAACCAAGCGCCTACCTTTGCGCCTTATCATTCTTCGCCGGGGACGTTCGAATTCATGCCGCCCCGTGCCCAGCCAACAGCAGCTGCTTCACAACAAACACCGAATGAAATCTTAAGTTTACAGGCGCAGTTCTCACACGTGATCAAACTTCAGACATCCTCACCGTTCAACGGACACGACTTCTTTACCTGGAGCTTCGAGTTTGAGCTGCTGATGGAGGCCGCGCATCTTCTGGGATACTTCAACGGGTCCCTGCCATTCCCAAGCAACGGCACTGGGAAGGAACAAGAGATCTTCACGTATCAGTCGCTGCTGGCGTACACGGTACTCCTGAGAAACCTGTCACCACAAGAGCAGCAGAGCATCAGAACGTATCGGAGTTATGGAAACTCCGCGGAGCTCGCATGGCACCACCTCAAATGCCTTTACCAAGCAAACGACAGCGTGACACAAAGCAGACTCATGCAACAGCTGACAACAATACAGATGAAGACCGGGGAAAAGGCGATGCAGTATATGAGTCGCTGCCAGACCCTCCGCGACCGCCTGCTTCGGTGCGGAGGAACGATCACTGAAGAAAGCTTCGTGACACTTGTCCTCGCCGGGCTCGGGCCAGAATGGAGAACCACACGATCACTTCTTCGAGCCCACGGAAGAATTTCGGAGATGCACCTCTGCGCCGAGCTTCACGCTGAACAACAGGAGATGGATCTGTTCGAGGAAAGACAACCAAGGAAGCAACAGCAGTTAGTCTTCTACACTCAAAGAAGAAATGACAACAACTACAACCGACGCAGCAAGCAAGATCAACGCGACAACCGAGGACTCACCATCGTGCCGCCGTTCTGCCACAACTGTCAGACTTCCGGGCACTCCAAGGTCAACTGCAACCGCCCTCGCGTTTACCGTGCAGCAGACCCACAAGTCGCTTCCACTCAAGCAAGTCCTCCAAGGCGCTCTTCAACATCTGCACAACAAACACCCAACATCATCAACTGCATGGTACACATCGACAACTGCGCACCCGCTTCACCACCCACTTACGCACCAGACGAAGAGGAATTCCCGCCGCCGCGCTCGCAAGGACTTCAGGTCAACCCGACATACGCTGCAGTCGCTAACGCCGAACCCACCGGGCGGAACACCTGGTTCTTGGACAGTTGCTGCGGTCAGCACATGTGCTCCTCCGGACGCTTCGTACAACACGAGCGACGCCTCAACCGCGACGTCGTCATCACCGTCGCCAACAACGAAAACCTGAAAACAAACAGGCAAGGCGTGGTTCAGTTACAATCAATGGAGACAAACGTTATTCTTCAGCTCAACAAAGTCCTCATCGTCGACAATCTGGGATACAACCTACTAAGCGTAAGCCAACTAATGGCTAAGGGGATTCACCTGGAGTGCGACTCCTTCTCCAACGAGTTCCGACTTTACCACGGGAAGGGCGGTCTCTTCATCGGTCGTGCCCTCCTGAAGTCCGGTGTCTTCGTGTTGGACTTCGTCCCCGACCGCGGAACTGCCGACAGCGATGGCATCGTATCGTTCGCCGCCTGGACTCACCCACCAGATCTTGATCCCGACTTCGACAGTGACGGCTTCTGGCACTCCAACACCATACCTGCAGCAGAGAGAACACGGGCATTAGCAGTTATCAGACAAGAAAGACAAGTACCAGCAAGCGTCCCAACAAAACCATCACCTGCAGTATCGGCAGCAGGACCCAGCCGAGTACCACCACCATCAACACGAGGACCGCCAACGGAAGCAGACCAACTTATGCCCGCCACACGAGAAGCTTGTCGAAGTCCCGCCTCGGTCGTCGCGTTCTTCTCCAACGCCGACATCTACCACCGCTCGCCCGGTCACCGCGCTCCCGACGACATCTGGCACCAACGTCTCGGACATCCTGCAAACAGCACGATACTACAAACAATACAAGCAGAGGTGTTAGAACGTAACGCCCTTCTAACGACGAGCGGCCAAGAACTTCGCCGACCAAGAGCACGATGCTTCACGTGCCCCGAAGCAGATCTTCCTCATCAACCTTTCCCAGCCCATCACAATCCAAGCGCACCCACTTACGCTCCGATGGAAAAGGTCTACAGCGATATTCTAAACATGCCTCGAGACGACACCGAAGCCGACTTCAACTACGTCATCACGTTCATCGACGCCGCAACCAGATACGTCTGGCACTTCAATCTCAAAACGCGCGATCAAGCCTTCGAGGCCTTCACCACATGGCTTCCAATCGCCGAACGAGAGTCAGGAACCAAACTCAAGAGTTTCCAGTCAGACGGTGCACTGGAATACCAGTCACAACGCTTCAGGACCTATCTCGCGGAAAGGGGAATCCGACGCCTGGTGTCTCTGCCCTATGCTCACCAGCAGCAAGGGGTAGCAGAACGCATGAACCGGACCTTGCAGACGACGATGCGAAAACTGCTTCTGGGGATGAGGCTGCCCAATACACTGTGGCCAGACGCGATGACACATGCAGTCCACCTGCACAACCTGTTGTCCTCGTCATCGCTCCCCAACAACGCATCACCGCACCTGCTGTGGACGGGAAAAAGGGGCAGCACAAAATTACTTCGAGTTTTCGGCTGCATGGTACAATACAGACCCCACACAGCTCGAGCAGGACGCTTCACTCAACGAGCTCGGTGGGGACTACACCTCGGCATCGCCAAACATTTTCACGCGTGGAAGATTCTCGACATACACGACAAAAATACGGTGGCATCACGTGATGTTATCTTCTACGAGCGACTGACGCTGCAGCATTACCTGGACAACATTGCCAACTCAGACGACCCCACCGACGGCTTCGCGGGCCTTCGCTCCTTCGCTGACCATGCTGCCGAGGCTGACGCAGCAGAAGAAGACGTCCCTGGAGCCTCGGAGGCTGCCGGACCACTCCCCTACTGCTCCGTACCTGTTCCACTCGATGAAGATAATCCTCTCGATAGCAACAACCTCGACACCTTTTACCACTTCGCTGACCAAGGCTACGCTACACCACACCCCGTCGACTCGAATATTTCCGAACGCATCGGGCCAAACTTCTTACCCGATCCTGAAGACGGTGATGAAGCAGCTTATCCCGAGAATGAAAACTCCCCTCGACACACAGCCACGGGACTGCAGATCCTAGGACTATGGGTCTCCGTCCAGCACCCGCCGCCGCCTTCTCCGCGCGAGCCGTCGACCCTGTCGCAGGCTCTGGGGGGGGAACATAAGGCACAATGGAAGGAAGCGATGGAAAAAGAGTTAAAAGCTCTGCAAGACCGAGAAACATGGAAACTGGTACCTGCAACGAGCATCAACGGGAAGAACATTCTCTCGGGGAAATGGGTGTACCGCATCAAGACCAACTCAGACGGCTCCATCGAACGATTCAAAGCTCGATGGGTCGTACGAGGCTTCGATCAACGATACGGAACCGACTACACAGAAACCTTCGCTCCAGTCTCCCGTCACACCTCTCTGCGCATCCTACTCGCCATCGCGGCCACGAAGAAACTACCACTACGGCAAATCGACGTTGCAAACGCCTTCTTGTACGCACCTGTGGACGCCGAAATCTTCGTCGAACAACCCCACGGATTCATCGACGACCCTTCAAAAGTATGCCAGCTGGAAAAATCCCTTTACGGGATCAAGCAAGCCCCACGGCTCTGGCAGCAGCACCTTCACGGCCGGCTCGTAAAAATCGGATTCCTACAGCTACCACATGACCAAGGCATGTACCGACTACAGAAGGGAAGAGATTACATTCTGCTCATCGTCTACGTCGACGACCTGCTCTACATCGGTTCTACCACCGACATCGTCACCTGGTTCGAAGGGGAGCTGAAAAGGGACCTGACGCTCACGGTGTCCGACGAGGTGACGCAGTACCTAGGACTGAACGTCGTCGAAGACGACACGGCGTTCTACCTACACGCTGGAAAGTACTCAAGCACCGTCGCGAAGAAATTCGGTCTAACACCGACTGCGGTCCCAACTCCCTACCGCTACGGGAACAACAGTAGCGCCTCCACAAAACTCCCCGCGAAACAAATCCAGGAGTATCAACAGAAGCTCGGCTGTCTACTATTCGCAACAGTAACCTGCCGACCCGACCTATCCTATAGTGCGAGCCAGCTGGCGACACATCTGAAGCAGCCGCAACAGGAAGATCTCGAAGAACTCAATCGAGCGCTACTCTACTTCGTCTCCACGCCGACGATCGGGCTCACCTACAGCAAGGCAACAACACCGTCCGTACGACTACTCGGATACGTCGACGCCGACCACGCGGGAGACAGCGAAAATCGACGGTCTAGGACGGGCTACATCTACCGACTAGAACCTATCGGAACTATCTCCTGGCAGTCGAGCAAGCAGGAGTTAATCGCACTATCCTCGGCTGAAGCAGAGTATATCGCCCTTTGTACTGCGACCAAGGAAGGACTCTACCTACGAGAGTTACTCGAAGAAGCGAAGATCGCGACCCTGCCCACCTTCTCACTCCTCTGCGACAACCAATCTGCGATAAAAATCGCGAACAAGGACGGCTTCGCCAACCGAACCAAGCACATCGCCCTGCGGTACCTCTTCGTCAAGGATGAAATCGCGAAGGGGAGACTTCAACTCAGTTACTGCCCGACGACAGAAATGGCCGCAGATTATCTGACGAAGAAATTGGCGAAAGCAAAATTCGACTACTGCATGCTCCTAACCGGGCAAACAAACGTCACCGGATCTGAACACTCCAGCACTCCAGAAACGAAGGGGAGTGTTGGAAATATCTCAAGGACTTAAGCGTTTCTGAAGTGTAACACTGTACTCGAGGAAGATTACAGGGGAGCACGCGAGTCAACGGAGGTTACACGAGGGGGCGGACAAAGAATGCGAAAGGACTCGAAAGGTCGCAACTGGAGGTTGCGACTGACCGTTACAACATCACGGACGGTAACCGAAGCGGCAATCGAGTCGCTGTGCGACTCGATAAACCGTTCCTGTAACTGTATTCTACAACTGCTTCCTTATCTTCTATATATTGCTGTATGCTTGTTTCTTTAATCAATCACTTGTTCTCACATACTAGTACAAGGGTTCAACTGCCTCAACTTCCGCTGCACTACTCCAAGTCTCAAGTCTCTACAGCTGGGACTTAGTCTCTGCAAAAGATCCTAAGGGCTTTTCTCAGCCCAACAGTATCAGCAGTAGGTAGGTCCCACCGCCCCCCCCACGCTTCCGCCCTAGGATCTACCCCCGTGCGTCGCGCCCCCTAGGCCCCATCGCGTCACCTAGGACCAGTCGCGCCCCCCCTGGGCCCCGTCACGCCCCCCCCTGGGCCCCGTCACGCCCCCCTGGGCCCCGTCACGCTTCCCTGGGCCCCGTCGCGCCCCCTGGGCCCTGTCACGCTCCCCTGGGCCCCGTCACGCCCCCTGGGCCCCGTCACGCTCCCCTGGGCCCCGTCACGCTCCCCTGGGCCCGTCGCGCCCCCTAGCACCCGTCACGCCCCTCCTGGGCCCCCCCGTTGGTGCCTCCTGGCCCTGTGGCGCGACTCCTAGCCCGTCGCGCCTTACCTAGCCCGTCGCGCCTTTCCTAGCCCGTCGCGCTTCCTAGTCCGTCGCTCCCAGCCGGCCCCGCGACCGTCCCAGCCGGCCCCGCGACCGTCCCAGCCGGCCCCGCGACCGTCCCAGCCGGCCCCGCGACCGTCCCAGCCGGCCCCGCGACCGTCCCAGCCGGCCCCGCGACCGTCCCAGCCGGCCCCGCGCCCGTCCCAGCCGGCCCCGCGACCGTCCCTGCCGGCCCCGCGACCGTCCCAGCCGGCGCTGCGACCGTCTCAGCCGGCCCCGCGATCGTCCCAGCCGGCCCCGCGCCCGTCCCAGCCGGCCCCTGGTGCCCGTCCAGGCCGCCCCTGCACCTGTCCCAGCCGGCCCCGCGCCCGTTCCAGCCGGCCCCGCGCCCGTCCCAGCCGGCCCCGCGACCGTCCCAGCAGACCCCGCGACCGTCCCAGCCGGCCGCGCGATCGTCCCAGCCGGCCCCGCGACCGTCCCAGCCGGCCCCTCGTGCCCGTCCAGGCCACCCCTGCACCCGTCCCAGCCGGCCCCGCGCCTGTCCCAGCAGGCCCCGCGCCCGTCCCAGCCGGCCCCGCGCCTGTCCCAGCCGGCCCCGCGCCCGTTCCAGCCGGCCCCGCGCCCGTCCCAGCCGGCCCCGCGACCGTCCCAGCAGACCCCGCGACCGTCCCAGCCGGCCCCGCGATCGTCCCAGCCGGCCCCGCGACCGTCCCAGCCGGCCCCTCGTGCCCGTCCAGGCCGCCCTTGCACCCGTCCCAGCCGGCCCCGCGCCTGTCCCAGCAGGCCCCGCGCCCGTCCCAGCCGGCCCCGCGCCTGTCCCAGCCGGCCCCGCACCTGTCCTAGCCGGCCCCGCGCCCGTCCCTGCCGGTCCCGCGCCCGTCCGAGCCGGCTCCCGCGCTTGTCCCGGCCGGCCCCGCGTCGACTTCCGGCCCTTCCTCGCCGGCCCTACGACCGTCCGATCTGCACTCTCCCTGGTACGGTTCTCCACCACCTTTCACCGCACTGTATCGCACTACATTGCACAGCACCGCCCTGCACTGCCCTGCATCGCACTGCCTCGCCTTGCACCGCCCTGCACCGCACTGCACTGCCCTGCTCTGCACTGCACCGCACTGTACAGTCCTGCACTGCCCCTGATGGCGGCGGAGCTTCGCTTCGACGCTGAAGGCCAGCCTCTGGAGTTCGCGGCGTGGCTTGCCGACCTCCGGCATCAACTCACTGGCCAGCAGCAGGATGGTGAACCGCTTTCCGCACACCTTGACGGTACGCTCCCCTGCCCAGACCCCCCTGCTGTTCTGCCCGCTGACTCCGCACCCACTGAGCGCGAGTCTACTGCTGCCACTGCCCGTGCGCGCTCTGTCTGGCTTTCTCGAGATGCTGTCGCTCAGCTTGCCATTAGCAATGCCCTTCCCCCGTCCGAGCGCCCCCGCTTTAGGTCCCTCACTACTGCCCAGGCTTACTTAGATGCTGTCATCAAGCGCTATTCCACCCCTCCAGCTGCCTCGGTGGGTCGCCTGATCCTCCCGATGCTCTTTCCTGACCTTGCGTCTTTCCCCACTGTCTCTGACCTCGCTGCCCACCTGCGCTCGATAGATGAGACCTGGCGCGCTGCCTGCACTGACGCACAGCTTAGAGCCCACCAGCCGCCCATTACCTCTACCCTTTACCTGCTTGCCGCCCGCCTCCCTGACCGCCTTGCTGTCGCCCGCGACCGCTTCCTTAGCATTCACCCCGCAGACCTCACCCTCACTAACTTTGTAGACACCCTGACTGTGATTGAGACCCGCCACCGCTCCATCGCCCAGGCGAGCGGTACCGTGCCGGTCCCTATCTTTCAGGGTTGTGCCCCCGCTCAGTGTACTTTCTCCGACGGCTCTGCCGCTGTGGCTGAGACTGCTGCTGCAGCGCAGTTTCGTTCGGGGAAGGGCCGCCGCCCCAAGGTTGGGCGCGGCGGAGGGGGCGGGGGTGCGGGAGGGGGTGGTGGTGGAGTCGGGTCGTCTGGTGCTGGAGCGGACGAGGGGACCCTGCCCAGTCCAGCTGAGCCGCCGCCCCTGCAGTCGCAGTAGCAGCAGCAGCCGCAGCAGCCGCTGCAGTTGCAGCAGCCGCAGCCTTCGCAGCAGCCGCCGCAGACGAGGCAGACGAGTGTCCTCCCGCCCGGGTGGCCCGGCGCTGACGGTGGTCGGGCGCGTGGTGGTGTGCCGAGTGGTGGTTCTGGAGGCGTGCGTTGTCAGTACCAGATCCAGACCGGTCCTCGCCGCGGCTTCGTTTGCGGTAAGATCGGTCACTCCACTCCCCGCTGTTTTCGTCGCCTGGACGACCTGTTTCGTCAGCGCTTCGGCCCGTCGCCAGACCTCCCGGACTGGCACGGTTTGCTTAGTCGTAAGATTCAGATTTTTGACATGGACATGGATGCCATTGTTTCTGTTCTGCATGTGATGTATGCTGATGACTCTAGTGTGCTTCCCGCTTATTACTCACTGTCGGCTAGTGTAGGTGTGCCTAGCTTAGCCTCCCCTGCGGCGTCAGGCGTAGGATCCTCTGCTTTGTGTAGTCTTGGTGCTTCCGCCGTCGTTCCGTCACCAGATGCCTCTGCTTCGCTTTCCTTCACCTTGGACTCTGGCGCTTCCCGGTGTTTCTTCCGCGACTTCACCACACTGACGCCGCTTCCTGTTCGTGCTGCCGTTTCTCTTGCTGACCCCTCTGGCCGTCCGGTAGTCGCCCGCAGTTCCACCACCCTTCCCTGTCCGGCGGTTCCTTCGGGCACTCTCACAGGTCTGCATATCCCCTCGTTCTCCAGGAACCTAGTTGGTGTCGGCTGCCTCCAGGACCTTGGCGTCACCACTACGTTCCCTGGTCACGAGCGGTATGCTGTCTGTACCGAGGCCGCCACGGGTGCCCCCCTGTCCACGTTCCCCCGGGACCCGGTGTCCGGCCTGTTCACTCTGGACACCGTGACCCCCCCGGCTGGGGCGCTCCCTCAGGTGGCTGCGTCTACCCAGGTTGATGCTGCCTGCTCCTGTCGGTCCCTCACTCACCCGACTCTCCTTTGGCACCACCGCCTAGGTCATCCTGCGCTCCCGCGTCTACGTCACATGTCCCAGCACGGTCTTGTCCTTGGTCTCCCAGGTTCCCTCCCCGCGTTTCCCTCCTCCCCAGCCCCACCTTGCACGCCTTGTGTCGAGGGTCGGCTTCGCCGTGCCCCTCACTCCTCCTCGTTTCCCCCTACCGCCGCGCCGCTGCAGACCCTGCACCTGGACGTCTGGGGCCCCGCCCCCGTCCCTGGGCCGCGTCGCGAGCGCTACTTCCTTGTGCTTGTCGACGACTTTACTCGTTACACCACAGTCTTTCCCTTGGAGCGCAAGGCCGACGTGCCTGGCGCTTTCATCCCCTTGCTTGTCTCTGCGCGTGTCCACCGCGGTCTCCCTGTCTTGCGTCTTCACTCCGACCGTGGTGGCGAGTTTGCCTCAGGTGTCCTTGGTCGCTTTTGTCATGCGGAGGGCATCTCCCAGACGTTCACCCTACCGGACTCCCCACAGCAGAATGGGGTCGCTGAGCGACGCATCGGTTTGGTCATGGAGGTGGCTCGCACCTCCATGATCCATGCCGGTGCACCCCATTTTCTGTGGCCGTTCGCTGTGCGCTACGCTTCTCACCAGCTTAACCTGTGGCCGCACCCTCAGCAGCCGCAGGTTTCGCCGACCCGTCTTTGGACTGGGTCTCCTGGTGACGCGTCTGCGTTCCACGTCTGGGGCTGCCTTGCTTACGTCCGTGCCTCCGGCACGGACAAGCTCACTGCCCGCACCCTTCCCTGCGTCTTCCTCGGCTTTCCCCTTGACGCGTCTGACTGGCACTTTTACCACCCGCCGTCTCACCACTTCTTTCACTCTCGCGACGTCACCTTTGACGAGTCCGTCTCCTACTACCGTCGCTTCCCCCACCGCGGTCCCCCGGTTACCCCCCCCCTGTTCCTGGTCACTCCTTCCCCGGTAGTCCCTGCCCCTCCCCCTCCTCCTCCCCATCCTGCCCCCTCTGGTGTGTCCCACGTCACCCCCCTTCCGTCGGTGGACCCGGTTGAGGAGTCTTCTGACTCTGATGGCCCTGCTGCGCAGTCCTCGCCGGCCGCCCCTCCCCCGGCGTCCCCTCCCCAGTCCCCTCCTCCACCGCCTCTGCCGCCGCTGCAGCCGTCTTTGTCGCTGCCGCCGCCGCCGCCGCCGTCGCAGCACCCGTTCGTTAACTTTGGGGGTGCTAGTCCCAGTAGCTGTGGGGGTGGATCCTCTGGGGGTGCTAGTGTGGAGTGTGCCGGTGGTAGCCGCGGAGCCGCTTGCAGTCCCGGTGTCGCCGTTGTGCCGCCGCAGCAGCAGTCCCCACCGGTGTCAGCCCTTCGCCTGCTCGGCCTTCCGTCCCCTGACCCTGCGGCTGTTCCTCTCCGACCGTCTCCTCCTCTTCCCATCTACGGCCCTGTGTTCCCTCCGCCGGACTCGTCCCCGGCCCGTCTTCCTCCTCGTTCCCCTCCTGTGTCCCCTCCCCTATCTCCTGACCCGACTCCTCCGTCGCACGTCTGGTCTCACCGTCCCTCCCGTGCTCGTCCTGCCTCGCCTGTCTTGCGCTCCCACCCTATGTTGCTTCGTTCCCACGTGTCTCGTCCTCCCCTTCTCCCGTCACCTCCTCCGTCCTCCCTTGTTGTTGCACCCCCCCCGCTATCTGACTACCTCCGTGCCGCTCGTTCTCTTGTTCCTCGGGTCCTTGCCTCTCTCGTTACCGACCCGTCTGTTCCGGTCTCGTGCCTTGACGCTCTTGTTGCTGCGGTCGCTGACTTCGCCTCTACCCGCCGCCTTGACTACGCCACCGCTCTGGTCTCTGACCCTGCCTGTCCTCCGTCTGTCGGGGGTGCTCCTGCCCTTGGCAGTGACGTCCTGGAGGACCGCCAGTTCGAGCTTGCTTTCCTGTCCGAGGCTGCTCCCCATCTCTGTTCCATGCTGCTAGTCCCTGAGGGTGACCCAGACGCTTTCGACATCCCGACCCCTCGCACTTACGCTGAGGCGACCTCGGGACCTTGGGCCTCTCAGTGGATAGCTGCCATGGAGCAGGAGCTGGCATCTTGGAGATCCACCGGCACCTTCGTCGACGCAGTTCCCCCGCCTGGGGTGAACGTAGTCGATGGCCGCTGGCTCTTCAAGGTGAAGCGCCCTCCTGGAGAGCCACCTGTGTTCAAGGCGCGCTACGTGGCTAGAGGCTTCAGTCAGCGTGAGGGGGTGGACTTCTTCCAGACCTTCGCTCCGACCCCGAAGATGACTACTCTTCGGGTTCTGTTAGACCTAGCTGCTCAACGTGACTATGAGCTTCACTCCCTCGACTTCTCCACTGCCTTCCTTCAGGGCAGCCTACACGAGCAGGTCTACTTGCGTCGCCCTCAGGGCTTTATTGGCACCTTCCCTCCTGGGACTCAGTGGCTCCTGCGGCGCCCTGTCTACGGCCTGCGCCAGGCTCCCCGTGAGTGGCACGACACTCTCCGTGCTACGCTTGCTGACCTGCAGTTCTTTCCGTCTTCCGCAGACCCCTCACTCTTCGTTCGTGCTAGCCAGACTCCGTTCTACATCCTTGTTTACGTCGACGACCTGGTCTTTGCCACAGCAGACAGGGACGCACTAGCCTCCGTAAAGGCAGAGCTGCTGAAGAGACACACGTGCACTGACCTTGGAGAACTGCGCCGTTACCTTGGCTTGCAGATCTCCAGGGACAGAGCAGCGCGCACCATCACCCTGACTCAGTCACACTTGGTGCGCCAGGTCCTTCAGAGGTTCAGCCTTCAGTTCTCCTCTGCACAGCCCACCCCTCTGCCTGTAGACCACAGACTCTCCGCTCCAATGTCTGAGGAGTCGGTAGAGCCCAGCGGCCCCTACGCAGAGCTGGTGGGTTGCCTCATGTACCTGATGACTTGCACTCGCCCAGATCTCGCGTACCCTCTCAGCATCCTGGCTCGCTTTGTGGCCACAGGCAGACACCGACCGCAGCACTGGTCTGCCGCTAAGAGGGTTTTGCGTTATCTTGCTAGTACATCGGGCATGGGGTTAGTGCTAGGAGGACGCAGGCCAGTGGTCCTTACTGGACACACAGACGCTTCGTGGGCTGACGATGCCGAGACACTCAGGTCTACCCAGGGCTACTGCTTCAGCCTTGGCTCAGGTGCCGTCTCGTGGAGAGCTACCCGCTCCTCCTCTGTTGCCCAGTTCAGCTGTGAGGCTGAGATCTACGCTGGTGCCATGGCGGCACAGGAGCTCCGCTCGCTGACCTTCTTGCTCACTGACTTAGGTGAGCGGCCTAGCTCTGCCCCGGTCCTGTTCGCTGACAACAGGGCCATGATCCTCCTGTGTCAGGAGCCTCGACTCGAGGGCAGAGCGAAGCATATTCAGCTGCGATACTTCCTCCTGCGCGAGCTACAGCAGCGACGCCAGGCTCGCGTAGTACACTTGGCCTCAGGTGCCAACACAGCTGATATCTTTACAAAGGCGCTTGCGCCTAAAGATCATCAGCGACACTGCGTACAGCTTGGTCTAGTTCCTGTAGCCTCTCACTTGCTAGGGCCTTGACTTTGTACTGTCCTTTATATGCATACTCAGACTGGACTTGTGTCCTCTCCCAGTGGCTGGACTAGTAGTGCCGCCCTGGTCTTGTTCTTGCCTTGTCTCAACTCCGTCTGACTGGTATTTTAGACCCTTGTCTCAGAGGTTGGACTAGTAGTGCCGCCCTGAGCTGCTTGTTCAGGTCATTCCCCTATGCAGTCTAGGGGGTGTGTCAAACATAAGTATAACTCATGTTTGTATAGACTGTATAGGGTCGCCTGTTAGAGGGTACAACACTCTTACGTATATACCCTTGTACTCTCTCTCTATTCAACAATTCTTCAGTTCTAAGACCCACAACCAGAGACATCCCTCCCACACCCCTCGAAAGTCGTGACCCAGGAAAATCGGCTAAGTCAAACCAGAGACATTGCTCTCACACCCCTCACAAAATTTGCAAATTTGGTGAAGTCTTCACAGCCAGATACAAAGGCCAGTGGGCGAAGTTGTCAGACGAAAATGTACGCGTTGTCTGGATTCTACGACGAAATATAACTCGCAGTCTGATTTTTCAGACGAAATTAAAACATCCATCTTAACGTTCAGACGAAATAAAACAAGGTCTTAAAAATCAGATGAACAAAAAAAATCGAGTCTGATTTTCAGACCATCAGACCGATTTCGTCTGCTATCTGGGGCCCTGACTATCACATACAAGGCATCCACGAAAATTAGAGGCTCTAGAATGGCTACCTCTCTAGCAAGAGCAACTTGTGCTGCATCTAAAGAGAAGCTGGAGATGCACAAGTAAGAACTAAGAGGGCATGGATGGCAGTCAGTGCGGACCTGGTAGTTTGACTGTATGAGCGGGCCTGTTAGCTAGCAAGGGCGCACAGAGCAATGTGCCATCCACAGTTGCTGACTATCCTCCCGTCAGGCGAGGGGGGGGTTAGAAGAGAACCAGAGAACGAGCTCCAACCAAGTACGGTACGTGTGCGTGTGTGCCACTCGTGTCTTCCCTGTCTCCCCCGGTCCTCGTGGGCCAACTCCACCCCTAAGCCAGCTGCCTTGTGAGTAACTGACCGCGAGGACTCCACACACTCTCCTCCACACCCCCCCTCCCCCCCCCCCCCACCCCTTTCCCCTTCCTTCAAGCCAATCCGATCTTAACGTCCTTATACTTGGCGAAGTAAGGCGCGTCCACGCCACTATACGCCCCCGACCACGCCCCTCGCTCCACCCAGCTCGCATTCCACATAGACCCATACACATACATGGGCTTCACAGGGTACGCATCTGCCTGGCTAGATAACGCCTCCCTCACCAGCGCCCCGTCCACATACCACCTGATGGCTGCCTTGGTCCACGTGAGCGTGTAGTTGTGGAAGGCGTCTGAACAGTCGAAGGGCAGCGGCACGAGCAGCTCGCGGCCACCGCCGCCATTGACGTAGAAGTTGGTCTGCACGGCGCGGTGGTTCTTGCCCAACCACTCGAAGTCGATCTCGTCCTGAAACCGACTGCCCTCCTCCGATGACAACTGCCGGAGGGACAAATGGGATGGGGGGGTTGGGGTGAGGGGGCGAATGGGATGGGGGGGTTGGTGGGGGGCTGGGGGCTCATACACGGTCGGAAAGGAAAGGGGGTTGGAAGGGGGGGATAGGGAGGGGGGGTTGAGATGGGTGGCTAATCTTGAGTGTGTTGTGGGAGGATGCGTGCAGGTTGGGCTGTAGGGCCAGGACAGGCTAGGACAGGCTAGGACAGGCTAGGACAGGCTAGGACAGGCTAGGACAGGCTAGGACAGGCTAGGACAGGCTAGGACAGGCTAGGACAGGCTAGGACAGGCTAGGACAGGCTAGGACAGGCTAGGACAGGCTAGGACAGGCTAGGACAGGCTAGGACAGGCTAGGACAGGCTAGGACAGGCTAGGACAGGCTAGGATAGGCTAGGACAGGCCAGAACAGGCTAGGATAGGCTAGGACAGGCCAGGACAGGCTAGGACAGTCCAGGACAGGCTAGGAACAGAGGGTGTGCAGGTGCGCATGTTCAAGTGTGTTGGCACTTGTGTGTGTGCGCGCGCGCGCGTACACCATCACTCCCAGCTGGTGACGTTTTTGAGCAGCGCAAAGGCCAGAGAGGGCGCCCCCACTCACATAGAAGGCAGACACGAGCCCAGACGCGTTCCCCCGGGGGCACTGGTAGAGCGCCGAGAATGACCCGCTGAAGTACCGCAGCGACGAATGGAACCTCCCGCCGCACCCCGTGCCATCAAACCGGATCGACTGGTACCCCCTCTGGGTCTCCACGTGGGTGGAGCAGTAGTCTATGGCCACCGGCCACATGGGCCCTCGCCCCATGGCCCGCCCGCGTGCTTGCCCTTCTAAAGGAGCGCCTAGTAACGGGTCTAGGGGGAGGCCGAAGTTGAGGGAGGGCGCGGGGGCGAGCGCGGTGGGCGCGGCGTAGGTGGCGGAGAGGGGGAGGGAGGCGGAGCGGAGGTAGCCGGCCTGCCAGGCGTAGGGGTAGGGCGAGGTGTCGTAGAGGGACGCGTAGAGAAACATGGTGGTCGAGAGCGGGAAGGGCGAGAGCATGTCGCGCGATTGCACGCGCATCACCTGGCCGTCGTACATCCATCTGGTGGACGTACAGGGAGGGGGCGAGGAGGGGGGGAGCGGATGGGAGCGGAGGGGAGGGGATGGGAGGGGAGGGGAAGGGAGGGGAAGGGAGGGAAGGGAGGGAGGGGAGGGGTTGAGGGAGGTGAAACAGGGTGAGAATGGGAATGCAGTGGGTTGACGGGTGGAGAGCATGGGGTGGACGAGGGTGAGGAGAGAAGAGAGGAGGGACCAAGAGCAGGAGAAGAGGAGCTCGTGCAATAACGCCTGAATCCAACCCACCGGACACCACCCCCTGTCACCCATTTCATCCTGGGCATGGCACTCAACCTCCACATTTCACCACATCCCTGCAACCAACCTCTTCCAACCCTTCAGCACCGCTTTCAGTCAGCCACCTCCCCCCCTCCCAATCCTCCTCCCCCCGTCTCCCATCCCCGTTATTGAGTGCGTACATGATGAGCTGCTTGCTCCACATGATGGTGACGTTGTGGAAGCCCGCGCTGCAGTCGCCGCCCACGTCCACCTCCTGCGTGCTGCCCGGCACGCCGTCCACGATCACCAGGCACCGCACGCGCGACCGCGCGTTCCCGAATATGCTCATCACGATCGCGTCTGTCGCCGGCCCGCCCTCCACCGTCGACAGCTGAGGGGGAGGGGGGGGGGGGCGGGGGGGTTTGGGGGGGGAGCGGGGGAGGGAGTGGGGGAGCATGGGGGGAGGAGGAGGAACGGGTGAGAGGGGATGTGAGGGTAGGTGTGCAAGGCGAATCGGGCGTCAATAGAGGGGAGGTTAGTAGGGGGAGGTTGAGACCGAAGGAGAGGATTTAACTTGAAAAGGAGGGTTGACATAGTAGGAGGCATGGAGTTGGGATCCTTGTGGATGCATGTTGCGTGAGCGTTGCCGTGACAAGCGCGCGCCAAACAGCAGAGGCCGGGTGGGGGGAGGGGGAGAGGAGGTTGGGTGAGGGGGATGGGAGAGGGGAGTGATGGGGGGGGTTCGTCTTACATAGAAGGTGGTGTCGAGCCCGCTGGCCTGCCCCTGCGGGCACTGCAGGCGCGCGGAGAACACCCCCGAGGGGAACGCCAGCGCGGAGTGGATGCGCGCACCTGAATGCCGCCAGGGGAAGGGAAACGGGGAGAGCAGGGGCGGAGGGGAGCAGTGAGGCAGGATGACGCGGCGGCAAGAGACGAAGGTCGGACATTGCGCAGAGACGGGCGTCGTGGGCCCTAGAGAAACCCCGAGTTCCCTACCGAAAATCGAACCCGCGAGAAGTACTTCTAGTAGGGAGAGATGGCAATCGTTGTTGGCGATCACTGATGCAACATACCGAGAGTGCCGTTGAACTTCAGCGTGGTTACGTCGTTCGGGAGCTCGGTAACCAGCTCCTCTCCGTAATCCACGACGAAATCCACGATGCTCGTCGCACGCGTCGGCGGCTTCCGCATGACCTCCTGGAGCCCCTCGTGCGCATCCACGCCCACGATTCCGCGCGACATGCCCCGCGCGCCGCTCACGCGCTTCAGCGTCTGCCCGACGGCGCTCAGGCGAATCACCGCGTTCTCCAGCTCCTGAAAGCTGTCGCTGTAGGCTTCGCCGTCTCCGCCGAGAATCGTCGCAGCCGTCGCAGCTGTCGCAAAGGCGGCCTGGTCGAGAGCGGACAACGAGTTCGCGAAATGGGCAACGTCGGGTTGCGTTTTCGTGGTGTCGACTTCGTAACCATACGCTTTTCGTGCGCCGTTACTGCTGCGCTTCGCGATGACGCTCCCGACGTCTCGCTGGCACTCTACGACTGACTTCGCGAGGTGCACCGTCTGCTTGCGAGCGTGTGCGACGTCGCCCTTGCGAATGATCCTGTCCACCTTCTTGGACTGCGAAATAGCAAACTTCAGCGTGCGACGGCACAGTGGCGACGCGAAGAACATGCTCCGACGGACCATGCGAATGGAGCGAAGCGACAGCGTCAGCTGGTAACGCAGCTCGCCTGTTGACGTGGCAGCATACGCGTTCTGGATAATATCGTCCACTTCTCGCCGACGTGGCGCCGTGGCAGCCTGAATCTGCGTCATCAGTGGCCCGCCGTTCGGGAACCCGTTAGAAACAGGATCGATATAGTGATGGTCGCCGGCAGAGCACCCTTGGCCATTGGCCATGTTGCAGCCGCCGGCGCTGGGGACGCTGATGACGCGCTGGATGCTGGTGAGCATGCTGGCGCTGCTCTGCATGCTGTGATTCGTTCCCCGGTTGAAAGGATCCCCGTCAGAGTTCGAGTTGGAATCACGTTTTTCACGTCTGCTTCTTGTGACGCCATTGTCCCGTTTGTCGTTCCCCTTACCCCGGCGCTCTTTGCCCTTGTTCCCCCCGCTCCGCCTGCCTCTCTTGCTCTTCTTCCCGGGGCGAGGCGGCGTGGCGCGGGGGGATGGCAGCCCCGCGCTCCCCGATGGTGTCGCGTCTTCGAGGACCCTGAACGCGCGCGGCGCGACGGATGAAACGGAATGGTCGGATTCGGGTGGGCTGTCGGCCAGAGAGTGCGAGAGGGACGATAAGGCGAGGAGGGATACGAGGAGGAGGAGGTGGAGGGAGGAGCGTGCGAGGACGGGGAAGCGGGACGAGGAATGGGGTGGGGAGCGTCGCGGAAAGGAGCGGGGGGAGGAGGAATCGGAGCAGGGGTGAAAGGAAGGCGTGCAAGGTTGCTGTGAGGGATCGCGGGAGCGAGTGACGCGGCAGTGCGATGGATGAGCCATCGAGAGACCTCTCCGTACCGCAGATTGTAACGCCGCCCCAGTGCACCGGCAGTTCCACGAGTGCTCCCCAATTTCTGGCCAGCAAGTGCGTTTCCCCGATTGCCGAACTACGTGAAATTTCTCAAGCTGAGCTTCTCCCGAAGGTATGAAGTCGACGGCTATCTAAATGAGCGGGCCATGGACATACATGGAGCAATCTAGTCTTGAATCTTGGAGCAGATTGGCGCGTTGGGGGTGGTTGGGGAGGTGGCATTCCAGGGTGCAGGGTAGGGTGGAGGGGTGAAGCTACGAAAATCAATTTGTGCTCGAGCCGCAAATTTCGAATTCACGCGCCCAGTGAATTTCCATCCACCTTCCCCAGGGACTTGCGAGCCACACATTTTCGCGACCTTGGCGACACCAATCTCGGAACGGTCACAGCGCACGATGACAGACACCAAGACTGAAAACGGTCACGGCTTGGATCATACAAACACGAAATGTCGTGATAGCTGTGGTAACCAGACAAGGCCTCCGTGTTCTGTAAACGCAACTAGGAGTAACAGCACAATTAACACAACTGAATCGTGAATGAGAGAAAAGGCTAGGATGAGGCTCTAAGCGTAACGATTAGTACAATTACCCTAAGGTTTGCTGCAAAAAGTTGAACCAATGGACCAACCCAGCAACTCAACTCACAGATACAACACTCAGTAACCCATGATGACCATGTGTCCCATCCATACATGGTTTGACCAAATTCTTGTCACATACGGTGCTTGTTCTGGTGCCGAAATCACCCTCACGTATAATTAAGACGGTCTATATTGACTCGAGGCGTATCTCGTCCACATTCTTTTAAGAGTCCATTGCATTGGGTTGAAATCAGCCCCGCGAGGAAAGGCGTTCCAGGAGAGCCGGCCCGACGCGAGTGATGTCACCTGGTGGGACACGCAGAAAACAGCATGTGATGGTGGAGGAAATGGGGTCCGTACGAAGAGGATTTCTCAGGTAAAATGAGTCCAGCTGACAAGGTCAGGCACTGTGACGAGCGCTGGTGGTGCGAAAGTCAGAACATAGAATGCTGGGTCAGGCCAGGCACTGTGACGACTGGACCAAGAGACGACCGTTAGTGTGTGTGTGCGGGTGGGTGCGTGCGTGTGTGTGTGTGATATTAACACGGCAGGGTGTTGAAGTATGTGATATAGTTTGGGAGGAATAGTGTGTGGCACAACCTGAGAGGACGATAAGTGTGTGGTACAGCATGAGAGGGGGCCACAGCTCACCTGCACCAAGCGTCAAGACAACAACGTCCTGTGCCTTGAGTCCGTGTCTGCCCCCCGCAATGCTCACTGCATCCCCCAGCGGCCCCTCCCACAAAGCAGTCTCGCTGCTGCCCACACTACTGCCATCGCTGGAGGCGCCACCATCTGTGGTGCTGCCGGTGCTGTCAGTACTGGCCATGGCAGTGTCGCTGGCCAAGCATCGCGCCTTCACCTCCCACTCGAGCCTGTCAATGGCGTCATCCTGTGGCACGGGAGGAGGGGCATGGATGGACGCAAGGTGAGAGGACATGGGGTACATGTGTGCTGGCTGGTGAGGAGGTTACTGGAAATGTTTGGGCAGAGCCATGGGGAGGCATGGAGAAAGGGGAAGGTGAGAGGGAGGCATGAGATAAGGTGGAAGGAGAGCCTGCTTTTGAGTCGACTCAAAAGCAGGTGGAAGGAAAGGGGGAGAGAGTGAGAGCGAGGGCAATGTCTCACTAGGCTGGGCACGTAGACAGCGGGAGGGCCGATGATGTTGATGGCCAGGTCAGCGCCAGACACGTCCCACCGGTTCTCCTCTCGAGCAGAGTACACCTGCCCCCATGCCATGGGGGGGTGTGACGTGTGCGTAGCATGGGTGGGAAAGAGTCATGGATATGCGGGGCACAGTCCTTTGCCCGTGGCTATGCATTTGAGTGGCGCATAGTTCTCATTGCATTGCGTGCGTGCGGGTGAATATGTGAGTGATGCACATGTGTAGCAACAACAGACAGGGCGCGCATGTGAGACAATATCCCAGGGTATGTCACACACACGACTGCATGGCAATATCGCAGGGTACCTCACACACACGCGTGCATGGCAATATCGCAGGGTACCTGACCTCACACACACACCTGGGTGACTATGACGCGGTCGGCTGCACTGAAGGAGGGAGCAAAGTCGTCCATGAACTGCGCCAGTCGACTGCACGCCATGCCCCGGGGGCAGAGGGGAACGAGAGGGGAACGAGAGGGGAACGAGAGGGGAACGAGAGGGGAAGGAGAGGGGATAGAGAGGGGAGCGAGAGGGGGTGGAGAGGAAAAAGGGATGGAGTTTCAAGGCTGGACGGTGAACCAGAAATCAACACCGAACTCTCAGACTCAAGTGAGCAACACGTCACGAAAAGAACGTGAGAGAAGTATAAGGGGATGAATAAGGAGAAGTATAAGGGGATGAATAAGGAGAAGTATAAGGGGATGAATAAGGAGAAGTATAAGGGGATGAATAAGGAGAAGTATAAGGGGATGAATAAGGAGAAGTATAAGGGGATGAATAAGGAGAAGTATAAGGGGAGAGAGCGCACCAGAGGGGGTGGAAAGGAAAAAAGGTCGGACGGCGGTGGAGCTGAGCGTGAGTAGCTGGACTAGACAGTAAGTAACCACCACGGGAATAGGGCATTGCTACAGCAAGTGGCTGGCTACCTGAACGTGTGTGGCTGGAAGACCACCCAGATGGGCTGCTGGTCGTATCTCTGCCTCGCTGCCTGCAGCACGGCTCGCACCTGACCAGGAGACAGACACACAGCGACTATTTTGAGACGCCTCAAAGAGAGAGGCACAGGGATGCTCGTGGGAGGGAGGGAGCGAGGGAGCCAATTGCAGGAGTGTAACGTAGGGTAGCCAATCACGGCATGCTGGAATAGTAGCGTAGGGTAGCCAATCACTGCATGCTGGAACAGTAGCGTAGGGTAGCCAATCACGGCATGCTGGAATAGTAGCGTAGGGTAGCCAATCACGGCATGCTGGAATAGTAGCGTAGGGTGTTCCTGAGGGACTGTCGCGGCGAGCATGTCGTGTCGTTCTACTACTGGGTCGACTCTCAATATCTTTCCGCTCAGCGATGAAGCACCCTACACACAGCATTTCCCCGAGTGAAGCATCCACTACCGCACCTCAGAGGGGTGGTGCGCATAGTCATCCACGCACGTGACCCGCCACTTGCCCGCGCGCCCCACCACCTGGAACCGCCGCTCCGCCCCCTCAAACCGCCCCATCTGCTCCGCCGCCCGCGCCACCGCCGCCCGCTGCAGCTCCAGCGACGCCGCCTCCACCCGTGCCGCGTCGCCAGCTGTCGGCGCCTCACGGGCTGCCAGCTGGGCGGCAACAACGAGGACCTGAGGGGGAGGGAGGGAGGGAATGGTGATGGCATGAGGGGGGATGGGGGTAGGGAGCAAGGCAATGGGGCAAAGGGAGACGGATTGTATCTACCTGGAGGACCTCCAGTGGAGGTCACATTAGAATGAACCACCACGGGATATAAACAAATATTGCAGCAACTGTGGTCCTTGTGCTTACAGCGAGGGAGTTGAGCACATTGTGTACGCCAGGCAGCTGCAGGCTCACTCGAGCCATGGGCCGGCCGGCAAACACCGTCACGTAGTCGGTGCCGCCCGCCTGGTTCGGCGCCAGCATGATGGCCCGCCAGTCATTGCCCTCGTCCAATCCGTACGTGACAGCTGTCCGCGGGTCCTCCTCTGCGTCCAGCCAAGCAGCCCTTGCACTGGCACCACCACTACAATCTGGACCCTCGGAGGCATTACTACTAGTACAAGGCGAGGTGGAAGCAGTGGCGGCAGCAGTGGCGCCCCCCTTGCTTGCACGCAGCTGTGTGACAAGCGCGCGAGAGCCTGCACTGGACGAGTGTGGGGAACGGTGCATGTGCCTCAGGCCTGTGTGTGCATGGGCATGTGAGCAGGTGCCCCTGTTAAGCATGCTGTGCACGGATGCATACCCTGTCCATATGCATGCATCGATGCTCAGCCTATCGCACATGCCATAAAGAAGCCATTACGGCAACATTACTCCTTAAAATATGAAGGTTGTGATGTACGAAGAATGGGGTGCAATACATGCATGTGTCTACATGCCACTGACTATCGCTCACTGATCACCACACGCCACTCACTTGTCACCACACGCCACTCACTTGTCACCACACGCCACTCACTTGTCACCACACGCCACTCACTTGTCACCACACGCCACTCACTTGTCACCACACGCCACTCACTTGTCACCACACGCCACTCACTTGTCGCCACACGCCACTCACTTGTCGCCACACGCCAATCACTTGTCGCCACACGCCACTCACTTGTCGTCACACGCCACTCACTTGTCGCCACACGCCACAAGGACGCCGCCCCGCTTTACACGGCTGGTGAAGCGAGAAAAAGCCGACCGCACTGCTGCCTGGTAAGAATAGGGAGGGAAAGCACACGGACAAGGAGGGAGGGGAGGGGAGGAGGCAGGGAGGGGAGGGGAGGAGCAGGGAGGGGAGGGGAGGAGGCAGGGAGGGGAGGGGAGGAGGCAGGGAGGGGAGGGGAGGAGGCAGGGAGGGGAGGGGAGGAGGCAGGGAGGGGAGGGGAGGAGGCAGGGAGGGGAGGGGAGGGGGCACACAGCAAACACCATCACTGAATCGGCAGTAGGTGCGTCAATATCTCGAGACTGACAGTCAGCTCGCTGTTCCATTGCCAACCATCGTAACCCCCGTCCCCTCCAACAGCTTCATGCCTTCTAGTCTAGTCAGAACCGACAACCCATACCCTCCAAAGGCCAGCTGCCTCCCTCACTCCGCTCCCACAAAGGTCAGCATGTCCACTGCATTCTAGCCAGGAGAATCACTGCATTGCAGGAGACTCACTGCATTGCAGGAGCCTCACTGCATTGCAGGAGCCTCACTGCATTGCAGGAGCCTCACTGCACTGCAGGAGCCTCACTGCATTGCAGGAGCCTCACTGCATTGCAGGAGCCTCACTGCATGCATTGGATTTGTCAGAGGCGGATGGGATATCTTGTCGGACGGCTCACCTCGCTCTCGAAGAGGTCCACGTGCTCCCACTCCACGTTCGTCACCACCGCGATGCTCGGGGAAAGCTCCAGGAAGGCGCCGTCGTACTCGTCGGCCTGCCAGGGAACATGCACCCGCAACGCACGCAGAGAGACACGCCACGGACGGACACACAGGCAGTGCTCCCTTGGGCTCATGACCCCCGAGCACACAACCCTCGGGCTAACGACTTTGACGCGGATAATAAATGGCTTCGCGAATAGGCGTTGCCTTTCTTGGGGGTTGATGCACACGTGGATCTGCTGTGCTGGCCTGCAAGCAGTGCAGGGTTCCTACCTTGCGTCTGGGTCTGGGCAGCAAGAGGGGCGGCTCACCTCTAGCACCATGACGCTGGCACCATCATCGACCAGCGCGTTGCCGCCACCTGGCAGCTGCAGGCATGGCGGGGTTTGGAAGAATGGAAAGTGGGATGACGTGAGGCGAGGAACTCGTGGAGTGACTGGGTGATAACCGTTCACTTTGGAGACGTCTCACCACTAAGGTGGCATGAAATGAGGCTAGCAGTGCATGCATGGAGTGACTGGGAGCACAGCATGGCATGGCATGGCTCGGCTGGCTAAACTGCGTAGATGGGCCATGGGGGCCGGCTGATTCAAGCCGAGGGATGCCTGAGCGCTGGGAGAGGAGCGGTCGACACTGGTACTCCCAACACCCTTGTTTTCCCTAGTGTGCATAAATTCGCCCTGGGTGGCCTGAGGCACGTATGTGTGCAGCGTGCCTTGTGCATGTCAACAACCAGCAGCTCACATGAGGGGCGTTGCCTCACCTGAGGGGCGTTGGCTCAGTGACATGGCATGTGAGGGGCATACATGTTGTGTGTGAGAGCAGCCAGCAGTGAGACTCACTCACCTGAGGCACGTTGGCTCCAATGACCGCAGCAAGTGGCACACCCATCTGGCGCAGCGTCCACGTCAGCATCGCTGTGGTCGTGCTCTTGCCTGCAGCCCCAGGGCAATGTGTGGGGGCAGGGCACCACCAAGAGCACAGCGGGAGGGGGAACGGGGGCGAAGCATGGGGACGGGCGACATGGCATACGTCTTTATTGCAGCAGAAGCGAAGACTGATAGGAGGGAGGATGAGGAAGTAGGGGAGACAGGGAGACAGAGGCACAAAGGGTGCAGCAGACAGAGAGTCGAGGGCAGCGTGCGACAACAACACACAGTCTGCTGTGTGGCATGAACAGTGCACGCACCATGTGTGCCAGCGACAGCAATCAAGTCAAACGATGACGTCATCATGCCAAGCCACTGCCAGCGCTTGAGGCTGTGGTAGGGAAAAGAGGAGCAAGGGGGGAGGGGGGATAGGGGAGAGGGGGAACGGCACAGAGGGGGGGCAGGGGCAAGGCAGAAAGGATGGTTTTGGAATGGTTAGAGAGAGGATGAGATGGCAGGAGTTATGGTGTGGAGGTGCCTCAAGAGGGGCTATGGGCGTGCATGTTGTGGGGCACCGAATGCAGACACTGCTCACGTGCCGCACACATCATGCATCGACCCCACATCATGCATCGACCCCCTCACGCCATGCATCGACCCTCTCACGCCATGCATCAACCCCCTCACGCCATGCATCGACCCCCTCACGCCATGCATCGACCCCACATCATGCATCGACCCCACATCATGCATGTGGGATACCACCTACAACAAGTCACCAGGTTTCTCTAAACGGACCACCCCTACTTGGCGCTGGAGCCTACCATGCCAGGTGCGCACACACATGCGCGCGCCATCACACCCACCCACCCACCCACCATCCCACCCTCCCATGCACTCACACTGCCACGCCCAGCTGCTTGGCTCGCATCACCTCCACATTGTCAGCGGGCACGGCACTCGACGCCACCACCACCATCTCCCCCACCCCACTCGCACCTCCCCTCACCGCCCCCGCGTCCCCCCCTTCCCCTGCCCGCCCCTGCGCGTCCCCCCCTTGCTGTGCGGCCAGGCGGGCGCGCTGCAGCGCGGCGTCGATGTGCGCGGGCGAGTGCCCCACGTGCACGGTGGCGCCCTGCTGCCGCACGCGCTGCACCTGCGCACCCGCGCTGCTGTCAGAGCCCGACACCAGGTAGCCCTGACGGGGGGGACCAGGGGAAGAGGCGGGAGGAGGGGAGGGAGGCGGGGTTTGGGGAGGGAGGGGGGGGGGGGGAGGGGGGAGGGAGGGAGAGAAGAGAGAGGGGGAAGAAAGAGGGAGCGGTGTGGGGTGGGAGGGTTCCACGCAGGTATAATAAAGCCTTTCAAATCACCACACACCTTGCCTCACAATGCCCATGCCTCCAACGCTGACTGCGGCGACAGCGCGCAACGAACCTCACTCCCCTGATCTCGCGATCACACGCGTCAGTCACGCTAGCTGCGCGCGCCACGCACCTGCTTCAGCGCCACGGCAGCCAGCGCCGACAGCCCCGATCCGCCGATCCCGATGAAGTGCACGGCTACGGGCCTCGCCCCCTCCGCCCCCTCCGCCCCTTCCGCCGCCTCTCCCACCCGCCGCCCTGCGCCGCTGCCTTCCCCTCCCTTCACGTCCCCTTTCCGCTCCCCCTCGGCACGCCCGTCAGAGCCGGTCGCCGCGCAGATCGCAGCGCGGCGCGATCGGCTGGGCATTGGTTTCCGCGTGGCGGACCGGCAGGCGATCTTACTATCTAACCGCAGACTAGACGCAAGCCAAAGCGCTCTCGATCGTTCCAATAAAGCGGCCGACTTTCCTAGTCTAGATGGCGTGATCAAGGAGATGGCGGCGTGGCGTGTGTGGGTATTTATTTGCCTCGATTGAATCTTGCTGACGATCGAAATGGCCATCCGCGAACCGCTGCATTGCAGATGCTGCGCGACTGCCGCCATTTCACGAGTGGATGTGAGGCGAGGCGCGCAGAGCTGACGGCTGCTTCATTCGATCTCGTCACCAGCAGCCGCGGCGCAGAACGATCGGGTAACCCGGTCGTGCGGAAACAGCCAAGTTGGTTGACTCATGATCAATCTGTGAAGGAGCGTGGAGGAGGAAGGTTTGGAAAATCTCGAGGGCCCGTTTTCAGGTCGGTCGCGTCAATTAACGGTTCAATTACTGGACGAACCCGAGAAGAGGCATGCGCGGTTGGACTTGCCTCTTTCTTGGAAGGGGTGAAACATGAAGCCAATGTTGCAAAATGAAAAGTTTGTGTCACGTATTACACTTGAAAATGAAGGTTCGGAATCATCACAAGCGAGTATTCGATTGTCCTCGAACCCTTACCAACAGTTTCGGATGAACGAAACCTTGAACCGCCCTGGAGTGAACTCGCGGTGGGTAGACATACTGTGTGGTGCAGAACGTTTCCGCACGGTTTCTGTGCGTCTCGACGAGTTTGTTCAGGGCCGAGACAGAGCCATGCCCGTCAACTTGGCTTGTTGAGTTTGAACCCACTTGAACGTACAAGTGCTCTCCTGCATTCAGATCAGATAATACCGGAGTGGCAGAATCTCGTCTCTCCAAGGATCTAAGAGCATCAAATCGCAGTTCCCTTCAGTTTCCGTCGCCGTGGCCTCAGGGTGGTCCGTTCCTAGACGGACATGCGACAGCCGCCGTGCCTCGCGGCCTCGGGATCGACGATCCTTAGAGCCTCATTGGCTTCGTTACTAGCACTCGCGGTCTTCTGCTTCTATTGGTTCCCATTCAACCACCCGTCCAGCCAGATACTAGACTCCGCAACCCTAATTTCCTCCCAGGAGAAAACTCAAGTGCCTCTTTCAGACGACGCCAAGCCGACTGAAAAGGGCTCGCAGAAACAGCCTGAGGTCGCTCAGGCGGTTACAACAGACTGCGATCTGTACGAGGGCCAATGGGTGAGGGACACGTCACGGCCTCGCTATTATCGCGGGGAGGAGTGCGCGTGGTTGAGATACTGGGAGCAGTACCAGTGCCACCGCACGCACAGAGCGCGCAGCAGGGAGGGAAGGGGGACGGAAAACGGGCATGGGGCTGATGGGAGTGGAAAGCGGCGGGAGCGGCGGCAACAAGAGAATTCAGCGGGGTCGAGTGGATCTAGAGACGTAGGGGATGAAAATTCCCGAGTCGCTCGTAGTTGGAGCGAGCAGGAACAGCGGCGGGAAGGGCAGGAGGAGGAGCCAGAGGAGGAGCAGGAGTGGGGGCAGGAGGGGGAGCTGTATCGCAGCTTTGGGTATGAGGAATACCGATGGCAGCCTGGAGGGTGCTCGCTGCCTGCTTTCCATGCAGCCGGTTTTCTCAGCAGGTAACACTGTAACGCTTGTAACACTGTGAGTCTTTGGTTTTTTTTCTCCTCTTTTTTTCCAAGAGGCCGTTGTTGCAATGTCAGTTGCCTGCTTTCCTCAACAGGGGACACTTTGGCAGCACGGCACAGAATGCAAGCCACCCCACTCACCATCCCCGGTGTCCTTACGTCTTTCTCAGTAACACATCTTGCCTCGCCTCACCTCTCCTCCGCTCCCCGCCCAATTCATTTTCCCACCTGACAGGTTGCGGCATCGCACCATTGTGTTCGCAGGCGACTCTCTCAGCCAGCAGCAGTTCCTCTCCCTCCTCTGCCTCCTCGCCCCCGCCCCCCGCTTCATCCCCCTCCCCTCCCCCCCTCCGCCTCACCTCCCCGTCCTTTCTCCCTCCTCCCCTCTCTCTCAGCCATCCGACCTGAAAGGGCCTCGTGCCTCTGAATCCGACCCGTCTCAGCCACAACAACCCCTTGATGCCGCCATTGGTGCAACCCTTGGTGCGGCTCATAATGCCACTCCTGCCGAGCACCCCGGTTCCTCTGGAGCAGCACAGGGAGCAGCACAGGGAGCAGCAGAGGGAGCAGGGGCGGTGGCGGTGGTGGCGGTGGGGCAGCTGTTCAACCTGACGTGGGCGAGGCGGCCCACAGCGGGCACGGAGAGGGGCGCCGCCTTCTGGTTGCCGCACGCCAACCTCACAGTGCTGCAGCGCACCGCCAACTGGCTCGTGCACGTGGAGCGCGCGGAGACGGGCGTGGAGAGGGGCGAGAGCAGCAGAGGACACGAGGGTGGACCTGCCGGTAGCAGCGGTTATGGGGGCAGCGGGGGTGACACCAGCAAGAGTACGGACAGCAGCAGAAGCAGCAGCAGCAGCGGTGGCAGTGGCAGTGGCAGTGGCAGTGGCAGTGGCAGTGGCAGTGGCAGTGGCAGTGAGCGCAGCAGCACGGCAGCAGCGGCAGGGCAGTACAAGCGCATACTCCACGCGTACCGCCTGGATGCCTTCCTGCAGCAACACCTCATGCGATTCGACCTCCTCGTGCTCAGCACCGGGCCCCACTGGACCAAGGACAGGTGTGACAGTGCGGGTGAGGAAGAGCCAGCTCTTGTTCCAGTCGCTTGCTGTCCCACGTGTCGGAAAAAGAAGAGCATCTTGTAGCAGAGCTGTTGGGTTGGGACTGGTGAGCAGGCAGTGGGGCAAGGAGAGCTATCGTTGCAGCCAACTGATTTTCGACCTCGGATGAGCTGACAGTAGTCTTCTTTAACCAGAGCTTGCTTCCTAACTCTCCCTTCAGATCCCTCCCTCCCGTCATCACCCCCCCAACCCGCCCCCCCTCCCCCTATCTCCCGTTGCTCCCTGTGCCATCCACCCATCCCGAGCAGCTTTCAGCGCTACAAGCTCGCCATCCAAACATCTCCCACCAGCCGCCCAGCCCTGCTGTCCGCCGCCCAATCAGAAAACGCCACGCTGTACTCTGTGTTGCGACAGGCAGCCCTGACAACTGTCATGGGCGGGATAGCGTCTGCTATAGCCACAAGGCGTGGTGCAGGCCTCGCTGCTCGCACTGGCACACGACCCACCAGTCAAAAACAAGAACCAGGGGATTCTCGCGTGCCGCAGAGCGCCAGCACGGAACCTGCTGTGCAAGGCTCCCCCTATGGCATGGGCGACCCAGCCATGAGCGCCTCAGCACATGCAAGTGACCCTCACATGGGCCCGTCCCTGGTGCTGCTGCGCACGCTGTCCCCGTCGCACTTCACTGCTGGCACATGGAGCTCAGGGGGGCGATGCGACAGGTTCCAGGTGAGGGAGAGCCCATGGCAGCCCAGCCGAGTCCTTGCGGTGTGGGCGCATACAGTGCTTCTTCCGTGCGCACAAGTTACCTCCTGCGCCTCAACGTTTTTGCACTTGCTTCTCTCGGCTTCGTCCCCTGTCATCTCTTGCACGGAGCCGTCTGTCCTGGCCCTGTGACATGACCTCGACTGAAGATGATGCCATGATACCATGATGCCATGATACCATGATACCATGATGCCATGATGCCATGATACCATGATGCCATGATACCATGATGCCATGATACCATGATGCCATGATACCATGATGCCATGATGCCATGATACCATGATGCCATGATGCCTTGATGCCATGATACCATGATGCCATGATGCCATGATACCATGATGCCATGATACCATGATGCCATGATGCCATGATGCCATGATGCCATGATACCATGATGCCATGATACCATGATGCCATGATGCCATGATGCCATGATGCCATGATACCATGATGCCATGATACCATGATGCCATGATGCCATGATGCCATGATGCCATGATACCATGATGCCATGATACCATGATGCCATGATGCCATGATGCCATGATGCCATGATACCATGATGCCATGATACCATGATGCCATGATGCCATGCACGCAGTGCAGCTGGGGATGTAACCAATCACCCGGCTGCCCTTGCCCTTTGCACCGTGCCACTCCATTCCACTTGTCTTTTATCCACAGGACCCGTTGCCAGCAGCCGATGCATGTGCGGGGACTGGGCAATGCAGGGACACAGCAGCAGAGGAAGCCATCCGTGCAGCAGCACGGGTGGTGAGAGCAGTGGCAGCAGATGGTGCAGAGGCCGCAGGAGCAGAGGCTGCAGGAGCAGCAGCCGCAGGAGCAGAGGCTGCAGGAGCAGCGGCCGCAGGAGCAGAGCCAGCAGCATCAACAGTTGTTGAAGGGATGGGGCTAACAAATACTCTGAAGGGAGTTAAGGGAGCAGCAGAGGGTGCATCGGGCCATTCCGTGACGTGGTTACGCTTGCTGAACGTCTCCTTCCTTTCTGCTCTGAGGGCTGATGCACACGTGGCCTCTTTCTACACCTACCGCAAACCACCAAAACAGAAACTTGAAGAGTTTAGAACCAACGGGACTGGAGCCAACTCCCAGTCAGGTACAGGGTCCAGCAGTGAGCAATGGAGGAGCACACCTTCCCACCCAGCTGGGCTGTTAGGTGCCAAGTCTAATGTTACAGGGGACGCCCTGGGGAATCCGAGGGAGGGGTTGTTTGGTGATCGAGTGAGGATGATTGTGCAAGACTGTGTGCACTGGTGCCTACCCAGTGTGCCTGACACGTGGAACGAGTTGATGTATGCTGAGATCATTCGTTCTGTTGGAAATATCTCAAGGACTTAAGCGTTTCTGAAGTGTAACACTGTACTCGAGGAAGATTACAGGGGAGCACGCGAGTCAACGGAGGTTACACGAGGGGGCGGACAAAGAATACGAAAGGACCCGAAAGGTCGCAACTGGAGGTTGCGACTGACCGTTACAACATCACGGATGGTAACCGAAGCGGCAATCGAGTCGCTGTGCGACTCGATAAACCGTTCCTGTAACTGTATTCTACAACTGCTTTCTTATCTTCTATATATTGCTGTATGCTTGTTTCTTTAATCAATCACTTGTTCTCACATACTAGTACAAGGGTTCAACTGCCTCAACTTCCGCTGCACTACTCCAAGTCTCAAGTCTCTACAGCTGGGACTTAGTCTCTGCAAAAGATCCTAAGGGCTTTTCTCAGCCCAACATGGTATGAGAGCTGGTCAGAGACCAAACTCCCAGCAACTACGTTCTATCAACAACCTGCAACTCAACTCAATTCAACGACTTCATTGATTGCAAGACATGGACAACAAGGGCAAGAAAGTCTCTACGGGCTCACCCAGCGGCCAAGAAACTCAACACGGCAACTCTGGTCTGCACACCTCAGGACTGCAGACAGAGACCGGGACTGCTCAAGAAACAACAGGAAGAGTACCAGAGATGGTGACTCCGTCTCCCTCTTCAAGTGTGGACCCGAATCTCATGGAGAGATTCTTCAGCTTCATGTCACACTTCGACCAGCAACAGCAGACAAGGACACCTGCGCATTCAACACAGAGCAATGGAGGAAATATGGGATTAGCGCCGATGAGCCTCGACAACTCATCCTTCGGGCGACACAACCAAGCGCCTACCTTTGCGCCTTATCATTCTTCGCCGGGGACGTTCGAATTCATGCCGCCCCGTGCCCAGCCAACAGCAGCTGCATCACAACAAACACCGAATGAAATCTTAAGTTTACAGGCGCAGTTCTCACACGTGATCAAACTTCAGACATCCTCACCGTTCAACGGACACGACTTCTTTACCTGGAGCTTCGAGTTCGAGCTGCTGATGGAGGCCGCGCATCTTCTGGGATACTTCAACGGGTCCCTGCCATTCCCAAGCAACGGCACTGGGAAGGAACAAGAGATCTTCACATATCAGTCGCTGCTGGCGTACACGGTACTCCTGAGAAACCTGTCACCACAAGAGCAGCAGAGCATCAGAACGTATCGGAGTTATGGAAACTCCGCGGAGCTCGCATGGCACCACCTCAAGTGCCTTTACCAAGCAAACGACAGCGTGACACAAAGCAGACTCATGCAACAGCTGACAACAATACAGATGAAAACCGGGGAAAAGGCGATGCAGTATATGAGTCGCTGCCAGACCCTCCGCGACCGCCTGCTTCGGTGCGGAGGAACGATCACTGAAGAAAGCTTCGTGACACTTGTCCTCGCCGGGCTCGGGCCAGAATGGAGAACCACACGATCACTCCTTCGCGCCCACGGAAGAATTTCGGAGATGCACCTCTGCGCCGAGCTTCACGCTGAACAACAGGAGATGGATCTGTTCGAGGAAAGACAACCAAGGAAGCAACAGCAGTTAGTCTTCTACACTCAAAGAAGAAATGACAACAACTACAACCGACGCAGCAAGCAAGATCAACGCGACAACCGAGGACTCACCATCGTACCGCCGTTCTGCCACAACTGCCAGACTTCCGGGCACTCCAAAGTCAACTGCAACCGCCCTCGCGTTTACCGTGCAGCAGACCCACAAGTCGCTTCCACTCAAGCAAGTCCTCCAAGACGCTCTTCAACATCTGCACAACAAACACCCAACATCATCAACTGCATGGTACACATCGACAACTGCGCACCCGGTTCACCACCCACTTACGCACCAGACGAAGAGGAATTCCCGCCGCCGCGCTCGCAAGGACTTCAGGTCAACCCGACATACGCTGCAGTCGCCAACGCCGAACCCACCGGGCGAAACACCTGGTTCTTGGACAGCTGCTGCGGTCAACACATGTGCTCCTCGGGACGCTTCGTGCAACAGGAGAAACGGCTCAACCGCGACGTCGTCATCACCGTCGCCAACAACGAAAACCTGAAGACAAACAGACAAGGCGTGGTTCAGTTACAATCCATGGAGACAAACGTAATACTTCAGCTCAACAAAGTACTCATCGTCGACAACTTGGGATACAACCTACTAAGCGTAAGCCAACTAATGGCCAAGGGGATTCACCTGGATACACTTCAGAAACGCTAAGTCCTTGAGATATTTCCAACACTCCCCTTCGTTTCTGGAGTGCTGGAGTGTTCAGATCCGGTGACGTTTGTTTGCCCGGTTAGGAGCATGCAGTAGTCAAATTTTGCTTTCGCCAATTTCTTCGTCAGATAATCTGCGGCCATTTCTGTCGTCGGGCAGTAACTGAGTTGAAGTCTCCCCTTCGCGATTTCATCCTTGACGAAGAAGTATCGCAGGGCGATGTGCTTGGTTCGGTTGGCGAAGCCGTCCTTGTTCGCGATTTTGATCGCAGATTGGTTGTCGCAGAGGAGTGAGAAGGCGGGCAGGGTCGCGATCTTCGCTTCTTCGAGTAACTCTCGTAGGTAGAGTCCTTCCTTGGTCGCAGTACAAAGGGCGATATACTCTGCTTCAGCCGAGGATAGTGCGATTAACTCCTGCTTGCTCGACTGCCAGGAGATAGTTCCGATAGGTTCTAGTCGGTAGATGTAGCCCGTCCTAGACCGTCGATTTTCGCTGTCTCCCGCGTGGTCGGCGACGACGTATCCGAGTAGTCGTACGGACGGTGTTGTTGCCTTGCTGTAGGTGAGCCCGATCGTCGGCGTGGAGACGAAGTAGAGTAGCGCTCGATTGAGTTCTTCGAGATCTTCCTGTTGCGGCTGCTTCAGATGTGTCGCCAGCTGACTCGCACTATAGGATAGGTCGGGTCGGCAGGTTACTGCTGCGAATAGTAGGCAGCCGAGCTTCTGTTGATACTCCTGGATTTGTTTCGCGGGGAGTTTTGTAGAGGCGCTGCTGTTGTTCCCGTGGCGGTAGGGAGTTGGGACCGCAGTCGGTGTTAGACCGAATTTCTTCGCGACGGTGCTTGAGTACTTTCCAGCGTGTAGGTAGAACGCCGTGTCGTCTTCGACGACGTTCAGTCCTAGGTACTGCGTAACTTCGTCGGACACCGTGAGAGTTAAATCTTCTTTCAGCTCCCCTTCGAACCAGGTGGCGATGTCGGTAGTGGAGCCGATGTAGAGCAGGTCGTCGACGTAGACGATGAGCAGAACATACTCTCTTCCCTTCTGCAGTCGGTACATCCCTTGGTCATGCGGCAGCTGTTGGAAGCCGATTTTTACGAGACGGCTGTGAAGATGCTGCTGCCAGAGCCGCGGGGCTTGCTTGATCCCGTATAGGGATTTTGTCAGTCGGCATATTTTCGTGGGGTCGTCGATGAATCCGTGGGGTTGTTCGACGAAGATCTCAGCGTCCACAGGTGCGTATAGGAACGCATTCGCGACATCGATTTGGCGTAGTGGTAGTGTTTTTGTGGCCGCGACGGCGAGTAGGATGCGTAATGAGGTGTGACGGGAGACTGGAGCGAAGGTTTCTGTGTAGTCGGTTCCGTATCGTTGATCGAAGCCTCGTACGACCCATCGAGCTTTGAATCGTTCGATGGAGCCGTCTGAGTTGGTCTTGATGCGGTACACCCATTTCCCCGAGAGAACGTTCTTCCCGTTGATGCTCGTTGCAGGTACCAGTTTCCATGTTTCTCGGTCTTGCAGAGCTTTTAACTCCTTTTCCATCGCTTCTTTCCATTTTGCCTTATGTTCCCCCCCCAGAGCCTGCGACAAGGTTGAAGGCTCACGCGTAGAAGGCGGCGGCGGATGCTGGACGGAGACCCAGAGGCCTAGAATCTGGAGTCCCGTGGGTGTGTGTCGAGGGGAATTGTCATTCCCGGAATAAGCTGCTTCGTCACCGTCTTCGGGGTCAGGTAAGAAATTGGGGCCGATGCGTTCCGAAATATTCGTGTCGACGGGGTGCGGTGTAGCGTAACCTTGGTCGGCGAAGTGGTAAAAGGTGTCGAGGTTGTTGCTATCGAGGGGATTATCTTCATCGAGTGGAACAGGTACGGAACAGAATGGGAGTGGCCCGGCAGCTTCCGAGGCTCCAGGTACGTCTTCTTCTGCTGCGTCAGCCTCGGCAGCATGGTCAGCGAAGGAGCGAAGGCCCGCGAAGCCGTCGGTGGGGTCGTCTGAGTTGGCAATGTTGTCCAGGTAATGCTGCAGCGTCAGTCGCTCGTAGAAGATAACATCACGTGATGCCACCGTATTTTTGTCTTGTATGTCGAGAATCTTCCACGCGTGAAAATGTTTGGCGATGCCGAGGTGTAGTCCCCACCGAGCTCGTTGAGTGAAGCGTCCTGCTCGAGCTGTGTGGGGTCTGTATTGTACCATGCAGCCGAAAACTCGAAGTAATTTTGTGCTGCCCCTTTTTCCCGTCCACAGCAGGTGTGGTGATGCGTTGTTGGGGAGCGATGACGAGGACAACAGGTTGTGCAGGTGGACTGCATGTGTCATCGCGTCTGGCCACAGTGCGTTGGGCAGCCTCATCCCCAGAAGCAGTTTTCGCATCGTCGTCTGCAAGGTCCGGTTCATGCGTTCTGCTACCCCCTGCTGCTGGTGAGCATAGGGCAGAGACACCAGGCGTCGGATTCCCCTTTCCGCGAGATAGGTCCTGAAGCGTTGTGACTGGTATTCCAGTGCACCGTCTGACTGGAAACTCTTGAGTTTGGTTCCTGACTCTCGTTCGGCGATTGGAAGCCATGTGGTGAATGCCTCGAAGGCTTGATCGCGCGTTTTGAGATTGAAGTGCCAGACGTATCTGGTTGCGGCGTCGATGAACGTGATGACGTAGTTGAAGTCGGCTTCGGTGTCGTCTCGAGGCATGTTTAGAATATCGCTGTAGACCTTTTCCATCGGAGCGTAAGTGGGTGCGCTTGGATTGTGATGGGCTGGGAAAGGTTGATGAGGAAGATCTGCTTCGGGGCATGTGAAACACCGTGCGCGTGGTCGTCGGAGTTCCTGGCCGCTCGTCGTCAGAAGGGCGTTGCGTTCTAACACTTCTGCTTGGATTGTTTGAAGTATCGTGCTGTTTGCAGGATGTCCGAGACGTTGGTGCCAGATGTCGTCGGGAGCGCGGTGACCGGGCGAGCGGTGGTAGATGTCGGCGTTGGAGAAGAACGCGACGACCGAGGCGGGACTTCGACAAGCTTCTCGTGTGGCGGGCATAAGTTGGTCTGCTTCGGTTGGCTGTCCTCGTGTTGCTGGTGGTGGTACTCGGCTGGGTCCTGCTGCCGATACTGCAGGTGATGGTTTTGTTGGGACACGTGCGGGTACTTGTCTTTCTTGTCTGATAACTGCTAATGCTCGTGTTCTTTCTGCTGCAGGTATGGTGTTGGAGTGCCAGAAGCCGTCGCTGTCGAAGTCGGGATCAAGATCCGGCGGATGAGTCCAGGCGGCGAAGGATACGATACCGTCGCTGTCGGCAGTACCGCGGTCGGGGACGAAGTCCAACACAAAGACGCCGGACTTCAGGAGGGCACGACCTATGAAGAGGCCGCCCTTCCCGTGGTAAAGCCGGAACTCGTTTCTGAAGTGTAACACTGTACTCGAGGAAGATTACAGGGGAGCACGCGAGTCAACGGAGGTTACACGAGGGGGCGGACAAAGAATACGAAAGGACCCGAAAGGTCGCAACTGGAGGTTGCGACTGACCGTTACAACATCACGGATGGTAACCGAAGCGGCAATCGAGTCGCTGTGCGACTCGATAAACCGTTCCTGTAACTGTATTCTACAACTGCTTTCTTATCTTCTATATATTGCTGTATGCTTGTTTCTTTAATCAATCACTTGTTCTCACATACTAGTACAAGGGTTCAACTGCCTCAACTTCCGCTGCACTACTCCAAGTCTCAAGTCTCTACAGCTGGGACTTAGTCTCTGCAAAAGATCCTAAGGGCTTTTCTCAGCCCAACACGTTCAAACGTTTTTGCCATAATGTGAACTCAGCTTGATTCCATCCATAACCTAGCTGCAGCAACAAAAGCCTAACTCAACAAAAACCGTAAGCCTTAAGTGCCATCAATTTGGTGTCAAGTCGAACTAGGATTCACCACCTAACATTGTGAATGATGACATCCAAAATTAGAGACAAGCAATGGCATTAGGCCTTTCTTAATTTACACTAAATTTCTCCAAAACTAATACTTACTGGCATTTCTTTGGCACCAGAAAACTGTAGTACTTTCACCACCGAAGTGGGCCTGTGCCACTCTGCGTGTCAAGTCACACAACACCAAGAGGCATTGGAGAAATCTGACGGGTGTCAGGTTTCCCTAGTAGTCGTTGACACGGCGTGACGTTGACACGTACAGAGAATACTCCTCAGCTACAAGACCCGAACGGAGGAAAGAGGTTCGGGTTCGGGGAGCAAGGTCGAAACCTCTCCCTTCCAACCAAGCAGCTCTGCACCAAGCCAATTACGCCGAGCCTCACAGTTCACCACCATGCCAACGGGAACCAATCAGCGGAGTGCCTCGCCTTGTCATGGCCTTCCGCACCTTGCATGTACACTTAGCCCGCGGTATCTCACACCCTGAAATTGGGCGGCAGTGCAATTTTTGTTTCCACCCTGACTTTTTCTGAGTGCATAGACAGTATTCCCTTGTTCCTACGGCCTAAGCGCCGCAGACTCCACGCGGATTAAAACTTTGAGCACTGCCAGAGCTGACGTCGGGTTTCTGATTCGAGAAACACTAAATCGAGCAGTAAACGTGTCCATTGTTTTTTCAAGGGTATCCGGATCTGGTCTTCAGGAGCTGCTTTCGGGGGGTGAATACCCTCTCGGTGGCATCCCCTGTGAAAATACTAGGTGTAAAAATACCGCGAGCCAAGTGTACAAGTCTCTCCCCAAGCGGCCAACCTCCCCTACCTCCTCCCCTTGCCTCCTCCCCTTGCCTCCTCCCCTTGCCTCCTCCCCTTGCCTCCTTCCCTTCCCTCCTCCCCTCGCCTCTCACAGCGAAGCAAACCCTAGGTTTCTCGGCCTGCTGCTCGCTCGCTTGCTCCTGTACTGCTGAATGACCGTGGCTGTTCTGCGCACTGCCTGCTTGCTTGCTCAAGTCCAGTCAGCAGGAGGGCAGTGGTGCACACCGCGCCTCGGATGTCTCAGCCGCGATTTTAGCTCTGGTTTGGCTTCTCGCTTCTCTTACAGTGCGAGTTTGAATCCAGTCGACGAGAGGGAATTCGCAGGGTTAGCTCCTGCCACCGCTTGGACACCAAGTGCGCATCGTTCTCGTTTCGTATCCCTCCTCGTCTGCTCGCGCGGTCAGCTAATAAATCCCGGGTGATGTATTCGTCACTGGTTCTCTTCTTCCTGTTCCACCTCGCGGGGTTCAAGCTACCGAAGCACGTGGACGACCGCGACGCGGAGTGGCCGATCGGCGCGCGGGGCGCGGAGGAGGAGCACGGCGGGGGAGGCCACTCGGACGACGAGCGGTCGATCGCGGGCGACTCGTGGTCCGTGAAGAGCGAGTATGGCAGCACGCTGGACGGCGACGAGGCACGGACGGCTGAGATGACGTGCGGCATGACGATCGCGGAGGACTCGCAGCCCAGCGGCAGGTGAGACTGATTTGATTCGATTTTAACGTGGAGAACGTCCAGCCCGGCGGGAGGTGAGACTACTCAGACGTTTTTGAAGCGGGGTACGCCCGGCCCAGTGGGAGGTGAGGCTACTTTGAACGCATTCCAAATCGGGGAGCGCCCAGCTCAGTGGGAGGTGAGTCTGCTGTTGAGTCGAGTCGAGTCAAAGACGGAGGGCTGGAAGCGCAGTGGGAGACGAGATGCGCGAGCGCAGTGTCGAGCGGTGCGACGCTGTTGCGCGGCTGCCGGTGATGGGACGGCGTCATGCATTGCTGCTGGTGATTTTTGAGTCGACTCAAAAATCACCCACGGATGGCATCATGCATTGCTGCTGATCCGCATCGTTCGCCCTGCAGCAGGTTAGGGCCATGGCTTGGTCTTCGTGTTGCCATTTCCGCTCTCGATAGTGCTCGATGATGCCCGATAGTGGCGAGTTGGCGAGGCAATGATGTTAAACTGCGAGCACAGTGACCGATGATTGCGCGAGTTACGAGCGACGAGCCACGCGACAAACGAATTGTGAGAGACTTCATTCGCGTTAAGCTATTAGCCGAGTGGTATCTTACCCTCTTGAGTACGTCCCATGCCTCCCATGCCTCCCGTGCCTCCCATACTGTCACCTTGCTACGTGGCAGCAGTGCGTCAGAGGAGCGGGAGCACGCGGAGCTGCCCGGGCTTCGAGAGCACGAGGGGGGCGCGGAGGGGCACGCGCATGGCGCCGACCACTACCACCACGCGGACGCACGCTCGCAGCAGCAGCAGCAGCAGCAGCAGCAGCAATCCCAGCAGCAGCAGCGGGTGGCGTACCAGCAGTCGCCGCTTCTCCGCGCCCGCGTTCCGCAATGGCTGGCCGCGCAGCAGCGGCAGCAACGCTGGCAGCAGGACGCCATGCTCGCGCTGCAGCAGCAGCAGCAACAGCAACAGCAGCAACAGCAACAACACCAACAGCAACAGCTGCCGCTACCGCAGCAGGCACACTTTCCCCAGCAGCTATCGCAGCAGCAGCTGCAGCAGGCGCTGAACTTCCAGCTACGGCTGCAGCACGGGGGGGCGAACGGCGCCTATAACCACCAGAGCAGTCTACAGGGGGAGCTGGGGGGTTTAAACGGGCTGCTAGCGGGCAGCGCGCCGAGCGAGGGGAGCCTAGACGACCGAATATCGGATCTAGATGGCTCCGCGGGGGGCGATGGGGACGGGGATGCGGATGCGGATGCGGATGCGGATGCGGATGGGGATGCGGATGGGGATGAGAATGGGTCGGATAAAGCGGGGGATGCGGAAGGGGGTGGGTCAGGGTACGGAGCAGGCGCGCCGAGCGGGTCTGGGGATGCAGGGGAGAGGGGGGCGGGGGAGGGGACGGGGGGAGGGGTGCGGGAGCGGGGACAGGGGGGTGATGATCGGGAGGATGGGGGAATAGGGGAGGGCGGGGGGGAAGGCGAAGAGGGGCGGCAAGCGGGCGGGAAGGGGGGAGGGGGCGAGGATGGCGATGGGGAGGAGAAAAAGGGCAATGGGGATAGGGATGGAGAGGAGGAGAGGGGAGAGGAGAATGAAGAAGAGGAGGAAGAGGAGGAAGAGCAGGAGGAGGAGGAGGAGGAGGAAGAAGAGGAGGGATCTGTGCTTGGGTTGCGCTCGCATTGGGATGCGACATACGCGGACGAGTTAGAACAGTTCAAGGAGAGCGGCGACCCCGGCGAGATATGGTGAGTGGCTGCCGCCTGCCTACCTGCCTGCCTGCTTGCCTGCTGTGAGCTGCCTGCCTGCTGTAAGCTGCCTGCTCCCCTCTGATCTCTGCCGTGGTAGCAACTGCTTTTGAGTCGACTCAAAAGCTGCCTGCCTGCTGAGAGCTGCCGACTCCCCGCTGATCTCTGCCGCAGCAGCAACCGCAACCCCCCTGGAACCCCCCAGCGTAGTCGCACAAGACGCGTTCCGTAGTCAGCGCACAGTGTGGTCGGTGACGCGTTCCTCCCTCGCGTGGCCCGTTCTGCATGGCTCGCTCGCTCTGTGTAGAGCCTCTCGTGAGCCGGAACTCTGTCAGCAGCCGGAACCCGTGCCAAGCTGCCTCTTCTTCTCTCTAGCTCCCGCGCTTCGTTTCGCTTCCGCTCACGTGCCTCTCTTGGATTCGCGTCTTTCCTCTCCCCTTCCACTTCATCTCCGTTCCACTCCCCCCCCTCCGTCTCCTCGTCCCTCCCTCCCATGTTTCTGCCGTGTCTCTCTCCCCTCCCGCTCCTTACCCCCCCCCCTCTCTCTCTCTCTCTCTCTCTCTCTCTCTCTCTCTCTCTCTCTCTCTCTCTCTCTCTCTCTCTCTCTTTCTGCCACCCCTTCCCCTCTCCCCCTCTCCCCTCCCCCTCAACTTCCCCCCCCCCCCCCCAGGTTCGGCGGGGACGTAATGGAGACGTGTGCGCGGTGGACGGCGCGGATAGCAGCGTCGTCCGCGGCCGCGCTCTCAGCAGGCGCGCTGGCCGCCGCTGCTGGGAGCGGTCGGGTTGGCGAAGAGCCAGGGGACGAGGGGAAGGGGGATGAGGCGAAGGCGAAGGGGGCAGCAGAGAGTTCAGAAGAAGCGTCGGGGTCACCAGCAGGAGCGGCAGGAGGCGGCGCAGCAGCGGCAGCAGAAGGGGCGGAAGCAGGGCTGGCAGGGGCAGCGGCGGGGTGGCGGGTGGTGGATGTGGGCACGGGCAACGGGCTGCTGCTGCACGCACTCGCCAGACACGGGTGAGCTGGACCGACCCTGCTGCTTGCGGTGTCGCAAGGGAAGGGTGGCAGGGTGTGGCTGATTTGGGGTGGGGGAGGCGGGAGATAGGTGGGAAGAGAGGGGGGGATGGGTGTATTGGGCAAGTGGATGGGTGCCTGTCTGTCTGTGAGTAAGTGTTTTGCGTCTGCCTTCTCAATCTACAGGGCTCCGCCCCTTTTCTCCCGTCTTTTCCTGTCTCCTTCCGCTTCTTTCCCCCCCTCTCCCCCCCCCCCCCCCCCCCCGGCGCCCTCTCTTCTTCCCCTGTTTCTTGTGTTCTCATCCATCACTCGCACGGCCCTCCCTCCGCCCTTGCCTCTCCTGGCCGTACCAGCCAGCTTCAACCTTGCGCAGTTTGCCTAAGCTGCATTGCCTGCCTAAGGCGGTCTAAATGACTGCACCACTCTCTCTCGCCTTCCACCACTGCATCTCTCCCCTCTCTAACCCCTTTCCCCCTCCTCCCATGTTCAAATCTCCTTCCCCCCTACCCCCTTCCCCCTCTCCCCCCTCTCCCCCCTCTTCCCCCTCTTCTGCGTCCACTCTTCTCCGCCCGTCCCCTCCGCCCCTCTTCCCCTCCCCCCCAGCTTCCACAATCTCCTGGGCACGGACTACAGCGAGGCAGCAGTGCAGCTCGCACAGCAGGTGGCGGAACAAGCCGGCCTCATGCACCTGCGCTTCCAGGTCACATGCTCATGCCAGCACTTGCCTTGCCAGCACGTGCCATGGTGTGCAATGCCATCACATGCCGTGCGGTTCCGTCCTATTCCACGCCACGCCATGCAGTCACTTCTTTCCTGTGCTGCACATCTCCCTCGACATTCCTTTGCCCCTCATCCCCTCCTCTCGTCCCGCCACTTTTCCATGTGGCCTAACTGCCCGCTCCCATAGGCTGACGACGTGCTGCACTCATCGCTTCCCTCGGCGTCGTGCCACATGGTCGTGGACAAGGGCACCTTCGACGCCGTGCGCCTGCACCCAGAGGGCTCCACGCGCAAGTGAGGGCTCCACTCGCCCCATGTTGTTCTGCCCGCACACCATTGATTTTGGATGACGTGCCGCCTGTCTCGCGTGCCCCTTGTTCCCTGCTGCTTGATATGTGCTTGTCTCTGTGCTTCATTCTCTATTCCAAGTCTTCATTTTTCCATTACCTCTCGCGCCATATCGGGCTCCATGTCGGTCCCATATCCACCCACCCACACTTTCCCTCATGTCATACTTGCATCTTTCGCCCTGACTGCAGGATCAAGTATAAGGACACAGTGGCAAGGTTGCTTGTGCCCAACGGCCTCCTGGTGCGTGCGATTGAACACGCCGTTTCTGCATATTTCAGCCTCCTGCACATTTCTGCTGCCCTGATAAGACTGAACATTTTCTTATTGAGTTCTTTCTTTGTCAGCCCCCTCGAAGGTCCACTGTCCTTGCGTATTATATCCCACCTTTTCTCTGACAGCTGCATCCTTGCTGACTCGCGCACCCCCCCCCTGCTGCCCTTGCCTCCCTCGCTCGAGCCTTTGCCTAGTCTCTTGCCCAACCCATCCCATGTCATCTCTCCTGGCCCTGTCGACCCCCCCACTCCCACCTTTCGCCCACCCACCACTCCCCAATTGTTCTTCCCTTGCATGTGTGTGTGGGCGGTGGCATGCACTGCAGGTCATCACGTCCTGCAACAGCACTGTGGCTGAGCTCACTGCAGAGTTCGCCCCCCCAGGTACACCCGCCTCCTCCTGACCACATGTCCTGAAGTGTGTTGCTTTTCATCTGCATCTTCCTCTTCATACTTGCACTGACTGCCTTCCTTTAAGCTAACCATGTGCCTCTTTCCTGTGTGTCTTGCCTTTCTTTCTTCCTACGGATAAACCTTCTGTCGTTATATCAGCTCTAGTGAACGACGTGAGTGTGGGTATCAGCAGAGTGGGTGAGAGGGAGGAACGTTGGAGAGGGGCCTTTGAGGTGGTAGACCATGTAAAGACATACCCCACGTTCAGATTTGGGGGAGTGGAGGGCTCTCGAGTAGCCACTGTGGCTTTCCGCAGGAAGCAAAGGTGAAAGGCCACGAATTATGTCGATACTGAGTTTTATTTCTGCGACTGAGCAGAAATCACAGGTGTAGAGAATGTAGGTGGTGCAACAGCAGCTTGTGATGGAAAAGTGTGGAACCTCTAGGAGAAGCTTATGTAGGGACTTGAAAATCTATGATTAGGTGGTATTATGGACACTACAATGCTCATCAGCAGCTGTTACGCCGTGGCGCGAGCTACTACTGATCCTTGAATCCTGACATTGTAGGGGTGCCGTTCCACTTCCCTTGAATCCTGACGAAAATTGGCCCACTTTGGGTGAGGAGCCAGTCAGCCACCCGTTCCTTGGCTCTGTAATGCATCTCCATTCTCCATGTCCGTGAGGACCCAGACTCAACGAAACTGGTGACAGCGGGTCCGTATTTTTAGCGTTTACGGTTTGAATTTCATTCATGTTCACAAGACCCGGTCTGTTCTTTGATCTCAACTAATCCGAGAATTCACAGTAAGATCCATGTGCATTTCGTCGCGGTTCATTTCGAATGTCCGTGCAGCCAGTCTGAACTTGATATCATCTGGTCCATCTGTCAAAATCCTCGTGGTCATCACGCAGACAGACCCTTGACGCTTCACATCGGCAATAAGTTAACAGGAGAAGTCGGCGGTTCTTGAAAATCCAGCAGGTCGTCATCTTTATCAGGGGACGTCTCGTGACCAATTCCAGATTCCGCAACTGAGAATTCATTCGTGGGCTCACAGTTCATGTCTTCAAAATACATGGGGTCCTGCAAATTATGGACATTAGACGCTGTTCCGGATTCACACTATGCAAACTCCCTCACGGGTTCCGACCTCTTCTCCATAAGCATACGGAACACATGGAATGCCTCCATGCGATTGCTGTAGGTGAAATTTCTTAGCATCATCAGCATGGCGACCAATCTGCGAAGCAAGAGTCGTTAGAAATAAGATGATAATGTTATTGCTAGTCAGCAGGTACTAGAGTTCTCCTTGCCTTGATGCTTCGTTCAGATGAGAAGATCCATATGCCAGGACGTGCTAGCACTGGCTCTAGGCTCTGGGAGATGCAGAACAAGAGTAGGCCAAGGACACAGACGCGGACACCCATTGTCAACAGGATTTCTGCCCCTACATTGGTTTCAGCATTTATGCAATGCGAAACGAGTGCCAGTGCACCAATCCCAACGCACTACCGAGGATATTCCAGAAGTGCTCCCACTGTTGATAAAATGGCATCTACATTTTTGCGAAAACCATATGGAACTAATTTACATCACATACAACATACAGGTCTGGTTGTGAGCGCTTGGCATTTTCTGTTGATGTGGCATTCCTTGCGACTATCACGTAAGCTCTCCCAGCGACATCGCAACATCTCCTGACCTTCGATGGATCCTACTCAGCCACGATTTGAAACATCGACGGCTCACGTGGGTTCAACATAGGTGGACAGTCGTTACCAGATTGGAGCACCAAGCTGCGCGACTGTAGGCGGGATAACGATTCACGTCACATCACAGTTCCCAGTTCCCGCCAAAACAGCGTAAGCCAAACCACTGCCACGCCCCATCCGCACTGTTGAAACCTCAGATGCATCATCGCACGGCCCACAAGTCGCAGAGGGTGAGGTGAGGTGCTGGTTCGGGTGTGGAGGTGTGACAACAAATCTCGACCATACAGTGAGATGCCATGATGCCGAACCAGTGATAGAAACGCATGATGCTGCGGTCGAATCTGAACCGTCAGATGTCGTAACACACGAGCCACCAAGACATCCGCCGGGGGCAGAAGTGGTCTGGCAGCGGTGAGGGGAATGCTGCCCTAGCCGCGCTTCATCAAATTTCAGCGCACTGTCTTCGGCACTCCCCCCTCCCCCTGATCCTGCCACTCGACTCCGCAGCACCCCAACCCACCCCCACCCCACATCAAGAATAAGCGCTTATTCTGAGAATGTTTCACGGCTTCCTCAGTCTCTCTGGCTATTCCTAGTTGCCACTAGCTCGGCCTACTGAACTTGGCTGCGTGCCTTCACAAGCAATGCAGGACGCTCCTGCGTGATCAAGAGTTCCCGCGACCTGCATTTCGCGGCTGAGGCCAGTCCGAAGTGAACCGAACGCCTGGTTGCGTTCCAGGACGTCCCTGATAGTATCAGAAACGCCGGCGAGCCGTCACCTCAGCACTACGCGCGGCATTCCATAACTACCTGCAATTTTTCACCGCTGGTCCTGCATGGCGTCGGCTCAGAAAGCGTCGGTGCCGCAGTGGGCGGGCCTGCGAGCCTCTCCGCTTGTGCCCTCGCCGCCTCGCAGCCTGATCCAAGTCAGGCGCCCCATCGCCACCAGGTTACGCCTCATCGCGTCTGCCGACGTGCCCAACGACTCCAACGACAATGTTCAGAACAAGAAAGAGGTCAGCTCTTTTGAAAACATGTTTGCTGCGTGACTTCATCAGGACTGCATGCCTACATGTAGTCTTTACCATTAATCATATATATCACCGTTCGTAATGTTGCTCAACCAGTCGCTTATTCTCACGTTTTGTATCAAAGAAGTTGGCTCACACATTGTTCCACCGTGCGCCGCCATCACCCCGCAGAATGTTCACCTTCCAACGATCTCATCCATCCCGTCATTCATCACGCGCCGCGTCCTCGTCACCGGCGCGTCCATCTTTGTCGGCGCCGTGTCCGGGCTCGTCGTGTCCGCGGGCGCGCTGGCCAACGAGCGCCGCCTGCTCGGACGCCAGGCCGTCCTCGAGAAGATCCGCACGCTGCGCGAGGCCAAGCTCGCGGAAAAGGCAGCGGTGGAGAGCGCGGCGGTAAACCTCGCGGAGGAGCCTAGCGCTCCTGCTTTTGAGTCAACCGCCGCCGGGAACGAAGCGAGCGCGCAAGATAACCTTCCTGTGAGCGAGGCGGCCGCTGGCGCTGGCGCTGGCGCTGGGGTAGGCGCATTGCTTGACGCGGCTTCTGCTGGATCAGGTGCTGCTGCTGCTGCTGGCGCGGACGCCACTGCTATCGACGTCGTCACCAGTACTGCGGGAAGCGGCGCAGCGGCCGCTGCTGACGGCAGCGCGGGTTTGGCGATCCAGTCAGCTTCGGGCTTGGACCTCGGCGTGGATGACGGTGAGCTGGACGCTGACGTGGCGCCTGAAGTGACGCCGTCAGGAGACGTGGAAGATGGCATCGAGGCAGATCCCGAGGCTGAATCAGCAGTGGAATCCGAGCCTGAGCCTGCGCCGGGGACTGAAACAGTAGCTGATCCCGAATATGAGCCTGAGGCAGCAGCCGAGCCCGAGCCTGAGCCTGCCGCTGAGCCCGAACCTGAGGCAGCGGAAGAGCCCGAACCTGAGGCAGAAGCTTTGCCCGAGCCTGAAGCAGTGGCAGAGCCCAAGCCTGAGGCAGCAGCTGAGCCCCAGCCTGAGGCAGTGGCTGAACCCGAGCCTGAAGCAGAGGCCGAGCCCGGGCCCGAGCCCGAGCCTGAGGCAGCAGCTGAGTCCGAGCCTGAGGCAGCAGCTGAGTCCGAGCCTGAGGCAGCAGCTGAGTCCGAGCCTGAGGCAGCAGCTGAGTCCGAGCCTGAGGCAGCAGCTGAGTCCGAGCCTGAGGCAGCAGCTGAGCCCGAGCCTGAAGCGGCAGCTGAGCCCGAGCCTGAGGCAGTGGCTGAGCCCGAGGCAGTGGCTGAACCCAAGCCTGAAGCAGAGGCCGAGCCCGAGCCCGAGCCCGAGCCCGAGCCCGAGCCTGAGGCAGCAGCTGAGTCCGAGCCTGAAGCAGCAACTGAGCCCGAGCCTGAGGCAGTGGCTGAACCCGAGGCAGTGGCTGATCCCGAGCCTGAGCCTGAAGCTGCAGTTGAGCCCATGCCTGAAACCGTTGAGCCCGAGCCTGAGGCAGCAGCGGAGCCCGAACCTGAGTCTGAAGAAGCAGCTGCACCAGTGGATGAGCCCGCGGGAGTGGCTGAACCCGAGCCGGAAACAGAAGCTAAGCCCGACCCTGAAGCAGAGGGCAAGCCCGAACCAGAAGCAGCAGCGGAGCCCGAGCCTGAGCCAGTGGCTGAACCCGAGTCTGAGCCTGAAGCTGCAGTTGAGCCTCAGCCCGAAGCAGCTGAGCCCGAGCCTGAAGCAGCTGAGCCCGAGCCTGAAGCAGCTGAGCCCGAGCCTGAAGCAGCTGAGCCCGAACCTGAAGCAGCTGATCCCGAGCCTGAAGCAGCAGGTCAGCCCGAAACTGTGGCAGCAGCTGAGCTCGAGCCTGAGGCAGTGGCTGAGCCCGAGCTTGAACCTGAAGCTGCAGCTGAGCCCGAGACTGGTGCAGGGGCTGAGCCCGAGTCTGCATCGGCAGGCGAGCCGGAGCCTGAAGCAACGGCTGAGTCCGAACCTGAAGAAGCTGCTGAGCCCGAAGCTGAGCCTGAAGCTGCAGGTCAGCCCGAACCTGAGGCAGTGGCCGAGCCCGAACCTGAGCCTGAAACTGCAGCTGATCCAGAACCTGAAGCAGTGGCTGGGCCCGAACCTGAGCCTGAAGCTGCAGCTCAGCCCGAACTTGAAGCAGAATCTGAGCCTGAGCCGGAGGCAGCAAGTGAGCCCGCACAAGTGCCTGAGGCCGAACGTGAGCTTGAAGCAGCAGACCCCGTGTTCGAACCTGAAGCAGCAGCTGAGCCCGAGCCTGAAGCAGCAGCAGAGCCCGAGCCTGAACTGGCACTTGATGCAGTGGCCGAGCCCGAACCTGAAGCAGTGGTTGAGCCAGAGCCCGAGCTTGAGGCAGCACCTGAGCCCGAGCCCGAGCCTGAGGCAGGAGCAGAGCCTGAGCCCGAGCCAGAGGCAGCAGCTGAGCCTGAGCCCGAGCCTGAGGCAGCACCTGAGCCCGAGCCCGAGCCTGAGGCAGAAGCAGAGCCTGAGCCCGAGCCAGAGGCAGCAGCTGAGCCCGAGCCCGAGCCTGAGGCAGCACCTGAGCCCGAGCCCGAGCCTGAGGCAGGAGCAGAGCCTGAGCCCGAACCTGAGGCAGTAGCAGAGCCTGAGCCCGAGCCTGAGGCAGCAGCAGAGCCCGAGCCCAAGCCCGAGCCAGAGGCAGCAGCTGAGCCTGAGCCCGAGCCTGAGGCAGCACCTGAGCCTGAGCCCGAGCCTGAGGCAGCACCTGAGCCCGAGCCCGAGCCTGAGGCAGCAGCAGAGCCCGAGCCCGAGCTAGAGGCAGCAGCTGAGCCTGAGCCCGAGCCTGAGGCAGCACCTGAGCCAGAGCCCGAGCCTGAGGAAGTAGAAGAGCCTGAGCCCGAGCCTGAGGCAGCAGCAGAGCCCGAGCCTGAGCCTGAGGCAGCAGCAGAGCCCGAGCCTGTGCCTGAGGCAGCAGCAGAGCCCGAGCCTGAGCCTGAGGCAGCACCTGAGCCCGAGCCCGAGCCTGAGGCAGCAGCAGAGCCCAAGCCTGAGCCCGAGGTAGAAGCAGAGCCGGAGCCTGAGCCTGAGGCAGCAGCGGAGCCTGAGCCCGATCCTGAGGCAGCAGCAGAGCCCGAGCCCGAGCCTGAGGCGGCAGCAGAGCCCGAGCCCGACCCTGAGGCAGGAGCAGAGCCCGAGCCTGAGCCTGAGGTAGAAGCAGAGCCGGAGCCCGAGCCTGAGGCAGCAGCGGAGCCTGAGCCCGAACCTGAGGCAGCAGCAGAGCCCGAGCCCGAGCCAGAGGCAGCAGCTGAGCCCGAGCCCGAGCCTGAGGCAGCACCTGAGCCCGAGCCCGAGCCTGAGGCAGCAGCAGAGCCTGAGCCCGAGCCTGAGGCAGCAGCAGAGCCCGAGCCCGAGCCAGAGGCAGCAGCTGAGCCCGAGCCCGAGCCTGAGGCAGCAGCTGAGCCCGAGCCCGAGCCTGAGGCAGCAGCTGAGCCCGAGCCCGAGCCTGAGGCAGCAGCAGAGCCTGAGCCCGAACCTGAGGCAGCAGCAGAGCCCGAGCCCGAGCCTGAGGCAGCATCAGAGCCCGAGCCCAAGCCTGAGGCGGCAGCAGTGCCCGAGCCCGAGCCTGAGGCGGCAGCAGGGCCCGAGCCCGACCCTGAGGCAGTAGCAGAGCCCGAGCCCGAGCCTGAGGTAGAAGCAGAGCCGGAGCCCGAGCCTGAGGCAGCAGCGGAGCCTGAGCCCGAACCTGAGGCAGGAGCAGAACCCGAGCCCCAGCCTGAGGCAGCAGCAGAGCCTGAGCCCGAGCCTGAGTCAGCAGCAGAGCCCGAGCCCGAGCCAGAGGCAGCAGCTGAGCCCGAGCCCGAGCCAGAGGCAGCAGCTGAGCCTGAGCCCGAGCCTGAGGCAGCACCTGAGCCTGAGCCCGAGCCTGAAGTAGCACCTGAGCCCGAGCCCGAGCCTGAGGCAGCAGCAGAGCCTGAGCCCGAACCTGAGGCAGTAGCAGAGCCTGAGCCCGAGCTTGAGGCAGCACCTGAGCCCGAGCCCGAGCCTGAGGCAGCAGCAGAGCCCGAGCCTGAGGCACCAGCAGAGCCCGAGCCGGAGCCCGAGCCTGAGGCGGCAGCAGAGCCCGAGCCCGACCCTGAGGTAGGCGTAGAGCCCGAGCCCGAGCCTGAGGTAGAAGCAGAGCCGGAGCCCGAGCCTGAGGCAGCAGCGGAGCCTGAGCCCGAACCTGAGGCAGCAGCAGAACCCGAGCCCCAGCCCGAGGCAGCAGCAGAGCCTGAGCCCGAGCCTGAGGCAGCACCTGAGCCCGAGCCCGAGCCTGAGGCAGCACCTGAGCCCGAGCCAGAGTCAGCACCTGAGCCCGAGCCCGAGCCTGAGGCAGCACTTGAGCCTGAGCCCGAGCCTGAGGCAGCAGCAGAGCCTGAGCCTGAGCCTGAGCCTGAGGCAGCAGCAGAGCCAGAGCCCGAGCCTGAGGCAGCAGCAGAGCCCGAGCTTGAGCCTGAGGCAGCAGCTGAGCCCGAGCCTGAGCCTGAGGCAGTACCTGAGCCCGAGCCCGAGCCTGAGGCAGCAGCAGAGCCTGAGCCCGAGCCTGAGGTAGAAGCAGAGCCGGAGCCCGAGCCTGAGGCAGCAGCGGAGCCTGAGACCGAACCTGAGGCAGCAGCAGAACCCGAGCCCCAGCCTGAGGCAGCAGCAGAGCCTGAGCCCGAGCCTGAGGCAGCAGCAGAGCCTGAGCCCGAGCCTGAGGCAGCAGCAGAGCCGGAGCCTGAGGCAGCAGCAGAACCCGAGCCCCAGCCTGAGGCAGCAGCAGAACCCAAGCCCCAGCCTGAGGCAGCAGCAGAGCCTGAGCCCGAGCCTGAGGCAGCAGCAGAGCTGGAGCCCGAGCCTGAGGCAGCAGCGGAGCCTGAGCCCGAACCTGAGGCAGCAGCAGAACCTGAGCCCCAGCCCGAGGCAGCAGCAGAGCCTGAGCCCGAGCCTGAGGCAGCACCTGAGCCCGAGCCCGAGCCTGAGGCAGCACCTGAGCCCGAGCCAGAGGCAGCACCTGAGCCCAAGCCCGAGCCTGAGGCAGCACCTGAGCCCGAGCCCGAGCCTGAGGCAGCAGCAGAGCCTGAGCCTGAGCCCGAGCCTGAGGCAGCAGCAGAGCCCGAGCCCGAGCCTGAGGCAGCAGCAGAGCCCGAGCTTGAGCCTGAGGCAGCAGCTGAGCCCGAGCCTGAGCCTGAGGCAGCACCTGAGCCCGAGCCCGAGCCTGAGGCAGCAGCAGAGCCTGAGCCCGAGCCTGAGGTAGAAGCAGAGCCGGAGCCCGAGCCTGAGGCAGCAGCGGAGCCTGAGACCGAACCTGAGGCAGCAGCAGAACCCGAGCCCCAGCCTGAGGCAGCAGCAGAGCCTGAGCCCGAGCCTGAGGCAGCAGCAGAGCCTGAGCCCGAGCCTGAGGCAGCAGCCGAGCCTGAGCCCGAGCCTGAGGCACAAGCAGAGCCCGAGCTCGAGCCTGAAGCTGCAGCTGAGCTTGAGCCTGAGCCTGCAGCATCAGTAGAACCCGAGCCTGAGCCTGAGGTAGCAGCTGAGCCCGAGCCCAAGCCCTTGGCAGCAGCAGAGCGCGAGGCTGTGGCAGCAGCTGATGCATCTGCTGCTGTTCCTGCGGATATCGCAGTAGAGGAAGCCATTGATGAGATTCTGCAAATCATTAAGGACTCGCTCAAGGGGTAAGGGGTGGGGTGGGGATGCTGCTGGCTTGGAGGGGAAGCAGTGAGTGCGAGCCAGGATGCGTCCGATGATCAATAAGTAGCACATGGTGGTATGCGCCAGCGTGGAATGATTTATGGCGCATGAGGAGCATCCAGTGTAGAAGTGTGTCTCTTGGTTCTAGTGCCGTAGCCTACTTGCTTACTTCTTCGTTGTGGCTTTCGGATTCTGCTGCCTGCTGGTTTTTTTTTTCTTGTCCTGCCCTTTTCGTTTTTGCTTTTGCCTGTGTGCTTTGCTTGTTCATGAGATAGGTGCTCAATTCTAGAATGATGTCCATCCATGCAACATGCATAAAACTTGAGGTGTTCACGGTTCAGCCTCCGAAGGTTCGGCTGAGAATGTGATTGAACTGTAATTTGCACTGCAGATGCTCTTGCTGAGGTGCACATAGGCGTTACAAGTTGGACTACGCTGTTATGATTTAGAAAGTGTCAATGAATTATAACGTGAGAATACAAGGTCGCTATTGCAATGAAAAGCACGAGGTTATATAGGGGTTGGCGTACTAGGGTGATAACCTCGGAAGGAACGTGGGTTGGTTCGGCAATGTGGCGATAGTGCCGGACGCGACTCGGGCAGGGCTGTCGTTATCAGGGTATTTTACCCTGATTCCCTGATTTCACGGGGTATTTTTTTGGCCAACCCTTAATTTTCAGGGTTGGGCTTTTTTGAACCCTAACCTCTTCAGGGTTGTATGTTTGTGAACACTTAGAATTTCAGGGTTTGCGTTATCACAACACTGAGTTTTCAGGGAGTAACGCGTACGAACCCTGAATGCGACATCCATGCGGACCCTGAGTTTCGGCGAAATGGACCCCTTACGCGTGACGGGTCCCAGTCCATTGAATACGCCCAGCATGCGTCACGTGGAGAATCTGCACTTGGCAACATTCCCACTGTGTACACGCTGTATGTTGCCATTTCAGCAACATTTCCAACCGTTAAGTGTGGGAAGGTGCACTCCGTCATGCCCCAGCCTGGCATTCGTGACTCAGAACGCAGCGTACGAGGATAGAATATGCTGAGCGCTGCAATGTCAGTCTCTATATGACATCACAGCGCCAATCATCTCTGTGCAGACGATGCCAGCGCAGGTGCGTCCCGCTGTTAACGGTATGGCCATGGCGATGCGGGATCTTGGATGGGTTATGCACCGTTCATGAAAATCGAAATCTGGGGTTTCTTGGTCCCCTTCCCATCTTCTTCACCAGCTTCTCCTCCATCCCAGTTTCCTCCTCTTCACGTCGCAGATACGAGATGCTCCATTCGTGTTTCTCGTCCACTTACGTCGCGTCGATTTCTTGTTTCGATCGTATCCGCCGCTACTAGCCATGGCGGATGTAGGAGAGTCAGGTGAGTCTCCCGCTGCCGATGATGGTTCTGGACTAGGTAAGGACCCCCCCGTGGAGGTCCGTGGATCCGCTCTAGACATCTTGCGGTCTCCCACCGCAGTCGTTACACCATCACAACCCGTATCTACTCCCGCTCCCTATGTACCTCCGCCCGCTGTCGCTTCATCTAGCCGAGGCCCTTGGGTTCCGGACTGCGAGACAGACACGACTGTGCGTTACACGGTCGAGTGTGCTTCCACGATCTCATCTGGGAAAAAGGCACGCATCGGGAAGTACACCCAGAGCACAATAGTCCTCGGCGGGAAGCTACGTCGACCGTCGCCGCCTCGCACGTCGCCTGAACCTCAGGCCCCTGCTATTCGAGAACCCGAGCCGCCGAACCTCTCGAAGAAAGAACTCATCCAGCAGAAGTATCTCATGGCTGAGCACAAGTATAAGACCAGCTGGCTTCCATTTTTCCCTTGGCTTCTGCTAACGAAAACGAAAGACGGTTACCCTGCGTTGAAGTGCAGTGTGTGCAAGGCTTTCGGCAAAGAGACAACACCGTACTCCGACAGCCGCGACGGGGCACGTGACCTGCAGACGCAAGCGATGCGGTTCCACGAACACACGACAGCCCACGAAGTAGCAGTCAAGCGTCAGATGGAGATCGCCGAAGACATCGCCAGCACCCAGAGACGCATGGAGAATTACGTGCGGATTGACATCGAGGGGAAGCGCGTCATGAGGCTCCTACGCTGCGTCGACTTCCTGTGCAAGTGTGATGCACCCATCAGCATGTACCCGAGGCTACTCCGCTTCATGGCCGAGCAGGAGACCCCGGACATTCCGCTGCAGTCTTACGGAGTCTACCTGACACGGTAATGCACTGATTCGAAGTACACCATATCCTTCATTTTTTTAATAGGTCTAACAAACACCATGTTGCTACTTCTGCAACTACAGGTATGGCTTCTGTCAGCTCGTCAGCAGCTTGGCATCCTACCTGCAGCGCCGACAAATGCAACACATTCTCGCCTCACCCTACCTTGGCATCAGCTGCGACGAGAGAACTGACCGTACTCGCGGTAAACATTTGATTGTTTATCTAACCTTCTTGCGTGCGCATCGTGTTGTCACAGAGTTTTCTGCTCTCTTGATCGTCGAAAAGTGCGACGCCGCGTCTCTCCTCGCCGTTCTTCTAGCTCACTTGCGAGCAACTGGCATCGACCTCTCCCGAATAACCGGCATGAGCATAGACGACGCCTCTGTCATGGTCGGCCGAGACAATGGTCTCGTCGCCCGACTTCGCGAGCACATCCCGCATCTCGTCTCTTCGCACTGCATCGCGCACAGGTTTAACCGCTTGTCATTTCAGTCGCTTAGGTTTCCTACAACTGCTTGACTAAATTACCTTTGTGTGCACCATGCAGGGAAGCCTTGGCGGTGAAGGACGCCGCCACTGCTTCTCCAGACTTCGACATGGTCGACCTTGTGATTCGAACTCTGGCCGATCTTCTGGGACGTTCATGTGTCTGGAGTCAACGCTTCAAGTACCTGCAGTGGATAATACACAACACCAACCTTGAAGTGCAAGGAATTCACACCGTGCGCTGGCTTTCAAGGGGTGAGGCTGTGCGGCGCCTCTGTAAGGTCCTTGGCGCCTCTATTATTCTGTTTCATGAGTACGGGCATGAGCTGTATGAAGTCGTCATCTGTTACAAGTTCCAGTTCTGTCTTTTTTTCCTGGCGGACGTGCTCGGAGTGTTGAATGAGCTCAACCTCAAATTCCAGAAGAGGGAGGTGAGCTTCTACCACTGTGCATGTTGTAGTATTTGTACCATGCATGCATGTTTGGAATCACCCTCTGAGTCCACTCCCTTGTCTGTCACTTCCACCAGGTCGATGTCACCGAAGTGACGAAGGACATCGACGAGGCGACAGGGGACCTCCACCACCGCTACCTGGAGTGCGGAGAGGTGTTCGGTGGGGGGGTCGAAGGCACGTGGCTTTCGGCTTTCTTGGCCGTCTACGGGCGCGGAGGGAACAAACGCGTAAAGGTGCGGGGCATCGACAAGGACGGCAGCCCAGTCACGCACACCTACACCATGCACAAGAAGCAGATCGACGGGCATGCCTTCCGCAGCAAGTACCCCGATTGCGAGCGGCTCTGCGCGCAGTTCGCGAAGGACATGATAAGCTTCCTGAAGACGAGATGCTGGACCTGAACAATCTCGCCCCGACGAAGCTCTTCCGCGTGTCGAAGTGGCCCCGGATGAAGCAGCAGAGAGAGAAGAAGCTGAAGGAGTACCTACATGGCTGCAGTGCCTTTTTCGACAACAGGCTGACAGGCTTTTCCTTGCAAGCTGCGCAGAAGGAGCTGGTTACGTGGGCGCCACTGATGCTGGGCCACCATGCCGACGAGGGATTCCATCAAGGCCTGACGAACTACCTCGGCTCGACGGAGTCGACCTTGTGAGAGACTGCTGTTCGAAGGACGATTGTTGCATGTTTCCTTGCCGGTTCTAAACTTCCCATTGGAAGTTGTTGTTCATCGCTTGTTGACTAGTTGCACTAATGCACTGCTCTTGTTCTTTGCACTTTGTTCCCCCAACCCTTTTGGCAGGCGGTGGCCCAACCCTTTTGGCAGGCGTGCGCTGTCCTGCCGCTTAGCACAGTGGAGTGTGAACGGGGCTTCTCGCGGCAGAACGTCATCAAGTCATGGGTGCGGGGCGCGTTGTGCAATGCGCGTCTGGGCGAGCTGATGGTCATTTCCCTGCTGCAATATGAGATTGACTGGGACGAGGCCCTTGAGTGTTGGCGCGAGAAGCTGAGGCGCCCTGCTAAGTCTGTTCTGTTTGCCTCAGTGGAGATGAAGCGTAAGGCCAAGGTGATTGAGGGGGCAAAAGGGAGGGTGGAGGAGGAGGCAGTCCCCGACTGCATGGGGGATTGGGCAGAGGATGAGGGAGAGGAGGGGGTAGAGGGGGGAGAGGCTCCTACTGAAGTGGAAGACAACCCGTTTCTGTCCGATGACGACGCAGCGGACGATGTGAACATGGATGGCCCTGAATTTTAGTTAACGGTAGCTAGTGGCGTGGAATCTTGTAAAGTGTAGACTAGATAGAGGACTTAACTGAATTTGTAGACTGGCGTAGTGGTGCTTTTGCTAAACTACTAGTAGCTGTACAATCCTAAACTGATTTTCTGCAAGTGCAAAGCAACCCTGTTTGTGGCTAGCCAACCCTGAAGGTTTCAGGGTTGCATGTTCCAGAACACTGAGAAATCAGGGAAGCCAAAATTTCAACACAAGGCCCTCAGGGTAATTTTTTTTTCCCATTCGACAGCTCAGGGTGCTTTTTTTTTAAACGTCAGCCCTGGACTCGGGGAAGGGTTGGGTTGGGCAGATAAATGAGGACGAACGTGACGAGGCGGGGAGTTCGGATGTACGACGAACGTGTTAAGACTAGAAAGAATGAGTTAGCTAGGAGTAGGAGGAGCCATGGAATGGCTTGAGGTTTTAGGCTAGGAGAGTAAGTTGACGAGAGAAAAGAGAGTGAACTAGAAGAGAGAGAGGCATACAAGGAGGGAGTTGTAACCTCTATAGTAGAGTTCGATAACCTACCAAGCCTACAATTATATTACAAATATAATTTAACAGTACGCACTGTTAAATTATATATGTTAGTATTTATTTGTAGGCTTGGTAGTGGTTGCTGAACATTTCTGTAGAGGGTACAACACCCCTCCTTGTATCCCTCTCTCTTCTTTTCTAGTCCTCTTTTCTCTCACCAACTTTCCTACCCTAAAACCTCATGCCATTTCCATGGCTCCTCCTACCTGGATCCTAGTTTTCAGACATGGTAACAGAGCAGGTTCCCTTCCCGGGCCTGCTCCCCTCGCTTCCGCCGCGCACTCCCTCCCCGTCATGCCGCGCTGGCCCCGTCGCGCCGCGCTGGCCCCGTCAATCCGCGCTGGCCC